ACAAAGCATGTAGAGGTCTGTAATTTTTATCATAGGTACACTTCAACTGTGAGAGACGGAATCTAAAACAAAAATCCAGAAAATCACATTGTATGATTTTTAAGTAATTAATATGCATTTTATTGCATGACATAAGTATTTGATACATCAGAAAAGCAGAACTTAATATTTGGTACAGAAACCTTTGTTTGCAATTACAGAGATCATACGTTTCCTGTAGGTCTTGACCAGGTTTGCACACACTGCAGCTGGGATTTTGGCCCACTCCTCCATACAGACCTTCTCCAGATCCTTCAGGTTTCGGGGCTGTCGCTGGGCAATACGGACTTTCAGCTCCCTCCAAAGATTTTCTATTGGGTTCAGGTCTGGAGACTGGCTAGGCCACTCCAGGACCTTGAGATGCTTCTTACGGAGCCACTCCTTAGTTGCCCTGGCTGTGTGTTTCGGGTCATTGTCATGCTGGAAGACCCAGCCACGACCCATCTTCAATGCTCTTACTGAGGCAAGGAGGTTGTTGGCCAAGATCTCGCGATACATGGCCCCATCCATCCTCCCCTCAATACGGTGCAGTCGTCCTGTCCCCTTTGCAGAAAAGCATCCCCAAAGAATGATGTTTCCACCTCCATGCTTCATGGTTGGGATGGTGTTCTTGGGGTTGTACTCATCCTTCTTCTTCCTCCAAACACGGCGAGAGGAGTTTAGACCAAAAAGCTCTATTTTTGTCTCATCAGACCACATGACCTTCTCCCATTCCTCCTCTGGATCATCCAGATGGTCATTGGCAAACTTCAGACGGGCCTGGACATGCAATGGTTTGAGCAGGGGGACCTTGTGTGCGCTGTAGGATTTTAATCCATGACGGCGTAGTGTGTTACTAATGGTTTTCTTTGAGACCGTGGTCCCAGCTCTCTTCAGGTCATTGACCAGGTCCTGCCGTGTAGTTCTGGGCTGATCCCTCACCTTCCTCATGATCATTGATGCCCCACGAGGTGAGATCTTGCATGGAGCCCCAGACCGAGGGTGATTGACGTCATCTTGAACTTTTTCCATTTTCTAATAATTGCGCCAACTGTTGTTGCCTTCTCACCAAGCTGCTTGCCAATTGTCCTGTAGCCCATCCCAGCCTTGTGCATGTCTACAATTTTATTCCTGATGTCCTTACACAGCTCTCTGGTCTTGGCCATTGTGGAGAGGTTGGAGTCTGTTTGATTGAGTGTGTGGACAGGTGTCTTTTATACAGGTAACGAGTTCAAACAGGTGCAGTTAATACAGGTAATGAGTGGAGAACAGGAGGGCTTCTTAAAGAAAAACTAACAGGTCTGTGAGAGCCGGAATTCTTACTGGTTGGTAGGTGATCAAATACTTATGTCATGCAATAAAATGCAAATTAATTACTTAAAAATCATACAATGTGATTTTCTAGATTTTTGTTTTAGATTCTGTCTCTCATAGTTGAAGTGTACCTATGATAAAAATTACAGACCTCTACATGCTTTGTAAGTAGGAAAACCTTCAAAATCGGCAGTGTATCAAATACTTGTTCTCCCCACTGTATCTTTAAGCATTTCCTCTAAGTTACTGGTGTTCTATGCAAGGCTTAAATATTGAATTGTTGAAATTGCCCTATTGTACAGTGCCCACTCATGTGCCCACAAAATACTGGTCATACTGATTGTGCCAGGTCATATTCCCATAACCCTGATAGCATAGCTAGGGACCTCTGTGTGCTTCCTTGCCTGTGTCTGTGTGCTATTTCTCAGGGCTAGGGAAACCCCCTTGGCCAGGCCCTTTATCAGGACATGAAGGGAGAGAGCAGAGCAGAGCTTCTTAAAATAAACCCCTATTAAAGCCATTTTATTATTGTGCTTCAGAGAATCATGACAGCAGAAACTGTCTCCCCCTGGAACATGTTGTGGGGAGATATTTTTGGACATTAGCCTGTAAATAGACCACAAACCCATACATGATACAGAGAGCCAGGACAGTGATCTTAATCATTATGATGATCAGGGCCGGATTACCAAACGGGCACGCAGGGCACGTGCCCGGGGCCCCCGGGGATGTATAATTTGGGAGGGTTGGGGCCCCCAGATAGCATATGATAGCACAATGTGTATAATGTGAACAAAAACATGAGATGAGCTGTAAAACAGAAGAAAAAAAAGCTCTGTCTCATGGCAAAAAGTGTTTAATTTCAGGAAATTAGCCTTAAAACTGCAAAAACTGTATCTTAGCCTCATGGCAAAATGTGTTGAAATGCAGTAAGTTAGCTGATTTCCCCCAAAATGAAAAAATAAATCCCCCAAAATGATTGCAGTAGTCCGGCCCTGATGATGATGACAATTAATGATGCATCTAATCTACACGCTCCTATGCCTCTATATGCATATACTGTCTGTACAGTTTAGAACATAATGTTTTAGCACATAGCAGCCTATAATGTAGCGTAATGTATGCCGACACTTTTTAGCAGACGCTTTTATTATTTGAAATGTTCTGTAAGTAAATAATATCCTTCGATGTCTTATTAGGTTGTGAATGTCCTTTTGTGAATACTTTTATATTTATTTTTTTGGCTGTGTTTGAGATAGTCTGGGAGTCTACTCTATTGAAGACAAGAATAGTGTCCAAGCCATGTTTAGCCTACAAATTCAAGGTAATAATTTCAGCAACCCGAAGTTTCACCCTACAGAAATGATTATGGCAGGAATTGTCCTCAATGTTGCAGTGCCATAGAAATGTTAAGTCCCCAATATTCAGGGCTTCTGTGACCAATGCAGAGCCTCCTCATTAACAAATACCATGGAACCCCTCAGCGCTGTTCCCATGGTGATAAAGTTTTACCATCCTGTGTCAGTATCATGGTGAGGGAACAGTCCAATGGAAGAGTCTTCCTCCTCCGTCACTACAGAGAGAATCGGTCCCTTATACTATATGATTGAACTAGGTCATTTAACTGTGAGGCGGCCAGGACTTTATAGAGGATTGTAATACAGATCATTTAGTTTAACTCCTGGAGGTCCAGTAGGATAGGGAGAGTTTTAGATCAGTGGTTTAGTGAGAAGCTGAACCCCATTCCATTACCCTACATTTAACTGTTGGAGATCCTGTACTGTGGGTTTCTATGGCTATAAGAATGAGGTTAGTTCCAACCAGAAACACAGACAGATGAATTTCACCACAATACCCTATGTGTACTCTTTTAATAGAAGGGATTATATACAAACATAATCTATTAATATGTAAAAAACCAACCCCAACCAGCCTTTTAGGATAAGTTGTTACATACAGTACGTACGTTTCTAAATGTGCCCACAAAGAAAGGGAGAGTGTGTTTAGTTGACATGATGGCTTTCATTTGTAATTTCCTGGCTCTGTTCATCCGACTGACACACATCCTAATCCTCTTTAGGCTATGGAGGCTGGGAGTGTCGCAGACTGGGAGCATCACTGGGTCAGTTATACTTCCTGAATTCTCCCGACCCTTCAAAACGAGGGAAGGGAAAGGAGAGGGAAAGGGTGATACCAGGTCAGTTGTACAACTGAATGCATTCAACTGAAATGTGTCTTCCGCATTTAACCCAACCCCTCTGAATCAGGACAGTGGACTGGCTTGCATGGCAGTGCATCAGCATTATGTCCCTTGCCCCGTTGTGTTTTGTAAGTGTCTGGCACGTTTCAGTGTCTGGCACGTTTCAGATTAATCTGGGTGAGTTTGTTCTACTGGGTGTAACTCTTTATAGAAGTGTTCATGTCATGTTATTCAGATGGATTTTGTTTTATTTGATCCATAGCCAGCTTTTTTATTTACCCTGTTTCTATAATTGTAATATATTATATTTATTTGTATCCACCTATATTTTAGTTGTTACTGTTTTCTGTCATGGCATTTTCTAACACCTCCAATCTCTCCTGTCATCTAAACGCACATCAACTGTTTGGATTTTGTCCAAAGAGCATTAATTTTTCAGAGATATTCTAACAGTTAACCAATAGCCTGTTGTCTCTATGTAGCCTACCATTATCTTAAATTACAACTTATCTGTTAGTTTGTCTGTCAGTACACCTGTATATCTGTCATCTCTAATGATGTGAACTATGATGCGTTATAAAGGTTTTGTATAATTTCAGCCAGTAGTTTTGAAAGTAGTGCTCAAGAGCAGAAATGGGTCACCAAAAATAGTGCATATCTCAAAATCCATCTGAATATCATGACATGAAAGCTTCTATAGAGAGTCACATCGAGTAGAACAACATTTTTCCGCTCAATCTCTTTAATACACCTCTTCACTAACCAGCAGCTGGGGAGAGCATGCAGATTTCCAAGAGGCAGCCTATCAGAGAGCAGAGCTCACTACTCTACAGCACATATCTGCCTCTCTGTTAGTGAGGCTGTGGCTGCCTGCATGCGCTGGAATCCATGCCTTCCCAGCAGAAGCATTACAACTGTCAAACTGTAATCATCAGTGATGTTTGCAGCCTTATGAATTAATACTGTGTAGGCTAAACATTCTGCTCTGAGATTACCTTCATATTAAGGATGGGTTTAATTTTACCCACGGCAGCCGTTTGACTAGATTAGGGGTCATTTGTCAACAGCGTGGGATCATTTAAGGATCGTTTACTATAAGCATGTGAAGAGATTAACAGAGAGAGAGAGAGAGGGGGCTTATGACTCTCCCAATGCAGACCGCACTGCAAGGCACAGAACAGCATGACAGAGTGCACACGTGGAATTGACTCTCAGCTAACGAACTACAGTCTATCTAACTAAGGAGCTGGGCTTTGTCTTAAAATACTTTTTTCTTGTAGGCGACAGACAGCTCAGCTTTTGTGTCCAGTCAATGCTTGGCACTCAGCCTACAGAGATCACCCAGAGAGTTTGATTACCAACTGGATTGACTGACTGACAGAAGTGTTTGAGAGAGAGAGGAGCAAGCCGGAGGGATATACAAGACGCCCTGGAGTATCTGACCGGAACTCTTCTCGGCAGTGGAAAGATGACATCCAAGTCATCCAGGCAGGGCAGACCCTCATCGGCAGGGTCCAAGCAGCCCTCTCAGAGGAAGGAGTGCCCAGCGGGTAACCGCTCCTGTATGCTGCGGGTCGGGGAGAGGCTGATGAGGGCTGGGAGTGAGGGAAACCTACATGTTGTGAGACCCAGACCTGCCCAGCAGACACCACTGGAGGAGAGACACCAAAAGTCAGTCTCCATCACAGCCAAAGGTAGGAACTCTTAAAGGTCCAATGCAGCTGTTTTTATTTCAATATCAAATTTCTGGCTAACAATTGTGATACCTTACTGTGATTATTTTCAACTAAAATGGTCAAAAAAAAACAAAAATAGCTTCTTAGCAAAGAGCATTTTCTCAAGAAAGAATTTTGTTGGACTGTCTGGGAATGGTCTGAGTAAGGAGGGGAAAACGTATTGGCAAAAAGGGTTTGGAACTCTCTTACTTATTGGTCTATTAACTCATTTACCACCTGGTGATGTCACCATGGAGGCTAAAACTCCATCCCACCAAAACAGGCTGAAATTTCAGGCGGTCTTTTCAAACAGCTATTATACATATATATATATAAAACACAGGAAAAATCAAGTCTTTGACTGCACTGGTCCTTTAATGTCTCTAGGCTTACACTGAGTATACCAAACATTAGGAACACCTTCCTAATATTGAGTTGCCCCTTTTTGCCCTCAGCCTCAATTCGTCGGGGCATGGACTCTACAAGGTGTCGAAAGCGTTCCACAGGAATGCTGGCCCATGTTGACTCCAATGCTTCCCACAGTTGTGTCAAGTTGGCTGGATGTCCTTTGGGTGGTGGACCATTCTTGATACACACAGGAAACTGCCTAGCGTGAAAAACCCAACAGCTTTCTGATTCTTGACACAAACTGGTGCGCCTGTCACCTACTACCATACTCCGTTCAAAGGCACGTACATTTTTTATCTTGCCCATTTACCCTCTGAATGGCACACATACACAATCCATGTCTCAATTGTCTCAAGGCTTATAAATCCATATTTAACTTGTCTCCTCCCCTTCATCTACAATGATTGAAGTGGATTTAACAAGTGACATCAATAAGGGATCATCGCTGTCACCTGGATTCACCTGGTCAGTCTATGTCATGGAAAGAGCAGGTGTTCTTAATGTTTTGTATACTCAGTGTATAGTCTAAGGCACTCACTGCTGGACTGCAAGCCTTTAGTGGAAGTTTACTAACTCTTTGTTTTCTGTTGCTGTACTGTATGAGTCATAGGATACTGTATTGAAGTTCTGTAAAAGTTTCACTGCACCGCAAATTAATAATAGATCTGATGATGTAGTCAGTGTTACAGTGCTACTGTAGCCGACAGTACATGACTCTGTGCCGTAGCAGTCATACACTCTCACACTCTCAAGTCCCCCCCCCCCCCCCCCCCCATTTCACGCACGCATGCAGACACAAACACACCCACCCACACACACACACACACACAAACACACACACACACACACACACACACACACACACACACACACACACACACACACACACACACACACACACACAATTACTGTACAGTGTGCGGAGAGCTTAGATCACCCTGTCAGAGGGTCATTTTGTATTGTCATGCATTCCTGGGTGAAGCACATGAGTCTGGTCATATTGTTCTGTCTAGGCCCCCTCAGCGGCCAGTGGATTAAGCCTGGGGTCAACCCTTGTAGCTCTCATTGTGCTGATGAGTTACATTCCCCCTCTTATCATCACATTCCCTTTCAGTGAAGTTGAGTTAATCTCCTGCCCCGGTTCAAAAGCAACTGCTGCTGTAGACCGTCTGATTGCAAATTTAATTTGACTTTGCCAACTCTGCAGCTGGAATCTGTCGCAAAGAGAAAAAGCATTTGTCACACTATCCAGGGTACAAATGAGGGTTGGAGAGAATTCAACTCACAGGTGCATGTGGCCTCTTCAGACCAGTAGAAGTATAAAATGTCCTTTTGCTTTCCTCTTTCCCTTTTATTTATTTTCCTTTTCTTTGTAGCTTTTTATTGGGATGTTTTTAGTCAAGCGCGATGTTCCAGAAACATTCTAACAAATTCAAAGGAAAATTTGCTCAATGTCATAATTCAGCATTTAAGGAACTTCCTCTTGGAGTTCTGAAAACATTGCTAGACTTCCAAGCCCAGTTCTCAGTATATTTTACAGGTGAATTTCATTCTGGCTTCATGCCTGAATGGAGAGGCTACACCCCAGGTTCCCTAGGTCTAATATATCATTTGAGCTGACGAACAATGGCTGCAATACATGGCCTATAACTAACAGATGATGTTTGTTGTGGCCGTCTATCTGTCGTCTGCTGCTGCCAGTGGCAGACTTAACACCAGCGGCTCCATGTATTCGGAGAACGATCTGAACACTAATCCTCTGGTCTCCTCTCGGGACATGATACAAGACTGTTGCGCTAAACTACCCTTAAACCAGTGGTATTCAAACCTTTTCAGTTGGGACTCCATTTTTTCAGCCAGAATTTCTGGGGACCCCATTTTTTCCCCAATACTTTTTTGCGACCCCACCCCTCTCCAAGTCTAATGACACAACCTTAAAATCGGTACATTTTGATTTTTACATCAACCAATAAATACATTTCCGCAATAAAATTGTATCTTTCAAATTATATTTCTCAAAACGTTTGTATATTGTCCCATACAATAATCTATCTGTACTGTTATTTTTATTTTTTTACATTTTTGCAACCCCACTGCAGTTCCACCGACTTTGAATACCACTGCCTTAAATCATTCTATTTTTGAAATGTCTTCCCTTTCTCCTTACATTGTGATAAACTCTCTTTCTCACACTGAGCCCTCGGCTTAAATATTCTCACACATCTTCTCACACTTGCTGTGACATGCAAATGACATACAGTAGAGTTAAAATACAATACAATACAATAGAATACAATAGAATGGTCTTCTATCATGAGTGATAGTAATTTTGCAATTTAGTTTGGAGTAAATAACCTGTTGAGTTTTCGTGTGTGTATGATTAATATTTTGATGTTTCACAGTTATTAGAGTTAGCATAGAGTGCAATTGTATCTCTAAACGGTGGCTTGAGGCTCGTACCTGCCCACATCTAATCGTTTGTTTGGCCTCAACACTCACAGTAATCTGTGAATGACGTACATAATCATAGCTACCGTTTTCACTTTTCATCTAAATGTTTTGGCGCATCACAAAGACTTGCAGTGGACACCGTCTGGTGGTAATCATCCCTGCAGTTCAAGCATATGTTTCTGGTGTCAGAAAGGGGGGCTTAAGTGAATCTCTAAACCACAAGATGACCCAAACCTGTGGTATTAAAGCAAAGACAGATCTCAACACGCTTTCTCAGGTGTCAGCTTCAAAGTGATGCCTATTTTTTAGATAAAGATAATGCTGTCTTTATCAACACCTTGTTTCCAAAGATAGAGATGGGGTTCTAAGTGTTGACATGTGTGTTGAAAGTTTATGCTTTTAAACAGCAACATTCAGTTGGCTAGATTAAATTGATGACCAAATCTGATGGTATCGCTATCAGAATAATGATCCACTGAAATGTGTAAACCTTGTGAAATTGGACCCAAATGCTCTCTGTCAATGGTAACATGAAGACCGTTTGTCATGATGTGGAGTCGAAATGGATTCAGGATGTGAATAATATTTTCTCCAAGTCATTACGTTGTATACGTTGTATTACCCCCCAAAAATGTATCTGTGCCTAATTAGACATAACAGACCTTTTTCATTTTGACTAAGTCACTTCATTTTCAGTTGTCTAACCCTTGTGAGTGTGCTTCCAAAATTGTTCAAAATTGTCTTTGCAGGCAGCAGCCTAGCACGCAGACCCTGATTTGCTCTGACAGCCGCGTGATTTCAGATCATACTGAAGTCCGCCCCATCCCGTCAGTCCCAACCCCCACCTCCCACCGCTACAGCCTCTACACTACAGGCCCAATGACATTTGTCTTTTTTTATAGCCACAAACTGTGATGCATGCTTCGATGAACACAACACAACATCTGAAACAGCTGCTCAGTCGATTTAGACTTCATGTTGATCCCTAGTTGAGAATGATTTAGGTGATACTGGCATGACATTGTTATTTCTGTGGCTTTGGTTTAGTCTTGGATGAGATGCATACAGATGACATCATCAAGGCCAGTGTCCCCATAAACAATATAAATAATTCCTGCTCTCCCATTCAGAAAACCATCTCCAACTCTCCAAATTACTCACTTATAACTGGAACTATGCCTCCTCTCTTCCAAGTTGATGGTTGACGCAGATATGTACCTATTTAACTTGAAAACACCCCTTTAGAATGACAGTTTTTATTGGTGTTTGTTTTTCTTTCCTCTGGTAGATTGACAGGCCAATAGAGGAGCATACACACAGCCTTTCATTATCTGTAGCTATATGTTATGGCTAATCGAGCCATCCTGACCCCCCTCTCTCTTGGTGTCCATAACCTCTTACAGTATGTAAGGGAATTATTGTTCAGTGCTTTCATTGTTGTTGTAAAGTTTTGTTGCACACCACATGCTTGACAGCCCCCACCAAGCCAGTTATTGAAAACACTCCCCCGCACATTAGCGCTGGGAGCATAATGTAAGATCTAAATCATGCAACAAGGGTGACTAAGCTAGGGGGAGAAGACGTAAGCGCATTCTGTATGAGCTGATGCTAATAACCCATTAAATTAGTGTACCCTAAAGCCATGTTGGGGTAAGTTCAAACAAGGTTACTGAAACTATTGTAATTCACCTAATCCTTGTGATAGCATGCCAAATTACCCTATATCCAACAAAAGCACAGAAAAAGAAGAACATTCATTTTGAAACTGTGGTTGGCGAAGTTAATAAAAGCTGATATTGAGCATAATCGGGAATGTCTTATTATTAAACAGTACATGATCAGTTCAGACTCTTATTCTATTTCTAATACCCTGAACCAAGCAACAGGTTGATGTCATGTGAGGCAGCTATTATTGTGAAAGTCTATCTGTGTTTATTAGGTGTTTTATTGCTACAGTATGCCAACAGTGTTATATATAGGCTTAGTAGGCTATAGGCTATATACACTACCAGTCAAACGTTTGGACACACCTACTCTTTCAAGGGTTTTTCTTTATTTGTACTATTTTCTACATTGTAGAATAGTAGTGAAGACATCAAAACTATCAAATAACTCATATGGAATCATGTAGTAAACAAAAAAGTGTTAAACAAATCAAAATATATTTTATATTTGAGATTCTTCAAATAGCCACCCTTTGCCTTGATGACAGCTTTGCACACTCTTGCATTCTCTCAACCAGCTTCATGAGGTAGTCACCTGGAATGCATTTCAATTAACAGCTGTAGGTGTGTTGGGTCATTGTCCTGTTGAAAAACAAATGATAGTCCTACTAAGCCCAAACCAGATGGGATGGCGTATCGCTGCAGAATGCTGTGGCAGCCATGCTGGTTAAGTGTGCCTTGAATTCTAAATAAATCACAGACAGTGTCTCCAGCAAACCACCCCCACACCATAACACCTCCTCCTCCATGAGTTACGGTGGGAAATACACATGCGGAGATCATCCGTTCACCCACACCGCGTCTCATAAAGCCACAGCGGTTGGAACCAAAAATCTCAAATTTGGACTCCAGACCAAAGGACACATTTTCACCGGTCTAATGTCCATTGCTCGTGTTTCTTGGCCCAAGCAAGTCTCTTATTATTATTGGTGTCCTTTAATAGTGGTTTCTTTGCAGCAATTCGACCATGAAGGCCTGATTCACACAGTCTCCTCTGAACAGTTGATGTTGAGATGTGTCTGTTACTTAAACTCTGTGAAGCATTTATTTGGGCTGCAATTTCTGAGGTTGGTAACTCTAATGAACTTATCCTCTGCAGCAGAGGTAGCTCTGGGTCTTCCATTCCTTTGGTGGTCCTCATGAGAGCCAGTTTCATCATATCGCTTGATGGTTTTTGCGACTGCACTCGAAGAAACTTTAAAAGTTCTTGAAATGTTCCGTATTGACTGACCTTCATGTCTTAAAGTAATGATGGACTGTTGTTTCTCTTTGCTTATTTGAGCTGTTCTTGCCATAATATGGACTTGGTCTTTTACCAAATAGGGCTATCTTCTGTATACAACTGATTGGCTCAAACGCATTAAGAAGAAAATAAATTCCACAAATTAACTTTTAAGAAGGCACACCTGTTAATTGTAATGCATTCCAGGTGACTACCTCATGAAGCTGGTTGAGAGAATGCAAGAGTGTGCAAAGCTGTCATCAAGGCAAAGGGTGGCTATTTGAAGAATCTCAAATATAAAATATATTTTGATTTGTTTAACACTTTTTAGTTTGCTATATGACTCCATATGTGTTATTTCATAGTTTTGATGTCTTCACTATTATTCTACAATGAAAAAATAGTAAAAATCAAGAAAAACCCTTGAATGAGTAGGTGTATCCAAACTTCTAACTGGTAGTGTATATATATATATTTTTTCAATGTAACCTTTATTTAACTAGTCATGTCAGTTAAGAACAAATTCTTATTTACCATGACAGCCTACCCCCCTTCCCCTAACCCGGACGATGCTGGGCCAATTGTGCGCCGCCCTATTGGACTCCTGATCACGGCCGGTTGAGATACAGCCCCGGATCAAACCAGGGTTTGCAGTGACTCTAGCACTAAGATGCAGTGTCTTAGACCGCCGCGCCACTCGGGAGCCCACTATATCAGGCAGCACATAAATACCACCCTCTCGACATCTTTGAAAACTGACTGAAGGGTCAAGTTTATGACTTTGAACACAAGTTTTGATTTAAAGTGGGTGTGGCGTACCTCCCCATATCGTTACATGAGATGGATACGGGGATAGGTTTTTTATAAAATTGTTGGGAAATCTAGATAATTAAAAGATAAGTGCATTTTCAGTGCCAGCTCTTAACACACACGCCAACGTCCTTCAGGAGTTAACTTGTGTTATGAAGTCAGTGATCAGGAGGGCTGTATTCTTGATAGAGCTAGGCAGTGTTCCAAATGGCACCCTATTCCCTACATAGTGCACTACTTTGACCAGATCCCTATAGGCCCATTTGCGATGTATAACTAATGAATGAGGGGTCTGAATAGGATGGCATTGTAGCCTTCGAAGCAGACAGAAGGGGAGAGTAAAACATTACTACAGTATTGCTTTGCTCTCCCAGGACTCTTTCACAATCGTCTCATAAGGTTTTTAATTTTCGAGCTCATGGGGGCATATGAAACCTTGTCACATGCCATTTCATAGCATATTTTCAAGGCTGAATGTCTCAGCCTTCAGACTTAGTGAAGTGCATCATATTAAAAACAAAAATAGCAACAATATGTAGTCTTCCTCCTCTAGACCAGACACTTTTATCACCCCCTCCAACTCTGTCTGTCTGTGGAGTTAAGCCCTTACACCCTCTAATGTTTAGAGTGCTTTTACATTTTTACCTTGGATCTATTTAGTTCGGAAGTCCATATTTGTGAGTGAAGTGTCCATTTGTTTCTGTCCTGGAATATGACATGCTAGTCAATGATAAAGACATTGAGAGTTACTTTTACAAAATCAGTATACTTCTGGCCCACCAATAGGGGTCTTTTGCCATAGCAAACCATCTCAGATTGTGCAGGGGGGCCCACAGGCTCTGGGGGCCCCCACCCCATGGTTTGCCAGTGCTGTGATAAAACATTGCGTAAAATAATAAATTTGAATAATTTATCTGCACTGTATGTTTGTTAGCCAGCTAGCCAGGGAGTTTTAGAGGAATGATTCCATAAATTTTTCTAATTACAGTTGAAGTCGGATACATTTAAACTCAGTTTTTCACAATTCTTGACATTTAATCCTAGTAAAAATTCCCTGTCTTAGGTCTGTTAGGATCACCACTTTATTTTAAGAATGTGAAATGTCAGAATAATAGTAGAGAGAATGATTTATTTCAGATTTTATTTATTTCATTACATTTCCAGCGGGTCAGAAGTTTACATACACTCATTTAGTATTTGGTAGCATTGACTTTAAATTGTTTAACTTGGGTCAAACGTTTCGGGTAGCCTTCCACAAGCTTCCCACAATAAGTTGGGTGAAATTTGGCCCATTCCTCCTGACAGAACTGGTGTAACTGAGTCAGGTTTGTAGGCCTCCTTGCTCGCACACGCTTTTTCAGTTCTGCCCACAAATGTTCTATAGGTTTGAGGTCAGGGCTTTGTGATGGCCACTCCAATACCTTGACTTTGTTGTCCTTAAGCCATTTTGCCACAACTTTGGAAGTATGCTTGGGGTCATTGTCCATTTGGAAGACCCATTTGCGACCAAGCTTTAACTTCCTGACTGATGTCTTGAGATGTTGCTTCAATATTTCCACATAATTTTCCTTTCTCATGATGCCATCTATTTTGTGAAGTGCACCAGTCCCTCCTGCAGCAAAGCACCCCCACAGCATGATGCTGCCACTCCCATGCTTCACGGTTGGGATGGTGTTCTTCGGCTTGCAAGAAACCCCCTTTTTCCTCAAAACATAACGATGGTCATAATAGCCAAACAGTTCTATTTTTGTTTCATCCGACCAGAGGACATTTCTCCAAAAAGTAAGACCTTTGTCCCCATGTGCAGTTGCAAACCGTAGTCTGGCTTTTTTATGGCGGTTTTGGAGCAGTGGCTTCTTCCTTGCTGAGCGGCCTTTCAGGTTATGTCGATATAGGACTCGTTTTACTGTGGATATAGATACTTTTGTACCTGTTTCCTCCAGCATCTTCACAAGGTCCTTTGCTGTTGTTCTGGGATTGATTTGCACTTTTCACACCAAAGTACGTTCATCTCTAGGAGACAGAACGCATCTCCTTCCTGAGCGGTATGACGCTGCGTGGTCCCATGGTGTTTATACTTGCATACTATTGTTTGTACAGATGAACGTGGTACCTTCAAGCGTTTCGAAATTACTCCCAAGGATGAACCAGACTTGTGGAGGTCTACAATTATTTTTCCGAGGTCTTGGCTGATTTATTTTGATAATCCCATGATGTCAAGCAAAGAGGCACTGAGTTTGATGGTAGGCCTTGAAATACATCCACAGGTACACCTCCAATTACATTTACATTTTAGTCATTTAGCAGACGCTCTTATCCAGAGCGACTTACAGTTAGTGAATACATATTTTTTTATACTGCCCCCCCCGTGGGAATCGAACCCACAACCCTGGCGTTGCAAACGCCATGCTCTATCAACTGAGCTACATCCCTGCCGGCCATTCCCTCCCCTACCCTGGACGACGCTGGGCCAATTGTGCGCCGCCCATGAGTCTCCCGGTCGCGGCCGGCTGCGACAGAGCCTGGATTCGAACCAGGATCTCTAGTGGCACAGTTAGCACTGCGATGCAGTGCCTTAGACCACTGCGCCACTCAGGAGTAAGTCAAATTATGTCAATTAGCCTATCAGAAGCTTCTAAAGCCATGACATCATTTTCTGGACTTTTCCAAGCTGTTTAAAGGCACAGTCAACTTAGTGTATGTAAACTTCTGACCCACTGGAATTGTGATACAGTGAATTATAAGTGAAATAATCTGTCATTAAACAATTGTTGGAAAAATTACTTGTGTCATGCACAAAGTAGATGTCCTAACCGACTTGCCAAAACTATAGTTTGTTAACAAAATATTTGTGGAGTGGTTGAAAAACGAGTTTTAATGACTCCAACCTAAGTGTATATAAACTTCCGACTTCAACTGTAACTGCCAATATGCCAACATTCCATTTAAACAATGCAGTCAATCCACAACCATACACTGGCTGAAATCAGTAGATGATAGTACTTAGACAAGTTGTAAATGCAGCAAGTACTGATATTGTATCATATAATAGCACTCTCAGCTTTCCAAGAAAACTAAAATGTTTAAATGTATGGTCTGTTTGCATATATTTTAGAGGCTATTTATACAGAAAATGTGTATAAAACCCGTATAAACTGTATTTATGATTATATGACAATATTTCAGGTTGACAGTAATTATATTTAACAATTTCTGATATATCACATGCTTTTGTTTTATTATCCTGCATAAATAAAATCCGGATTATGCCTCTACTGCCATTCATTCCAATGAGACTGGTTTGGATTTCTCCCTGACCAATATGGCTCCCATTTTCACCCCATTCTGGAACTTCGAGGCAAAAATCTGAGGGGGCACAAAGTACATGAGGATGGCGGGGGGATGATCTGGAGGGGGGATGGCCCCCCCGACCGTAAATTGGAGACTTAAACCCCTGAAACAGCTTTTTAATGCAATCTAGAGCCATAATCATTATGCTTAATTATACGTATTTTTTTTTTATGTCAATTTTTCTGCATATCTAAGCATACCTTTTGAGCTGTCTGTAAGAAACTAAATATGCTTCTCTGCATCTCTGCTAAAATCTGGGTAAAAGATTGAAAGGAATGTGAGTCTTATTCAGTACATTTAGATATTGCTTGCTTTTCTAAAGTCTACCAACCTTGCCAGCAGGCATGCCAGCTAAGATAGTTAGAGAAGCTAGCTATTCTATCTTGATGGATAGCCTGAAATGACTTATTTTTACCGTTATTTTACCAGTAAATTGACTGAGAACACATTGTCATTTACAGCAACAACCTGGGGAAGCCAATTGGAAGCTGAGGATGATTAGGTGTCCATGATGGTATGAGGGCCAGATTGGAAATTTAGCCAGGACACCGGGGTTAACACCCCTACTCTTACGATAAGTGCCATGGGATCTTAAGTGACCACAGAGAGTCAGGTCACCCGTTTAAATTCCCATCCATAATATGTTTTACAGGCTTCTTGGTAGCTGGTTATGAGATTGGGAGATTGGGAACCTGTCTGGGCTAGCTAAAGCTAACTTCATAAAACTGCTAGGTGGCTAGTAGTATTACAGAGAAACAACAACAACCAAATTAAATTAAATAAAAACAAATATTCTTTAAACATGACAAATCTGAGGGGACACGAGCCTCTAAGCCCCCTATGGGCATGACGCCTCTGCTTCGAGGGTTTATGACATAGCCCCTCTACTATGCTCAGGCCTTGCAGGGGCCCCGCGAAACTGCGGTACTCCACTGGCATTGAGATGCAATTCTCAGAATCTTCATGGTTGTCCCACTCTCCTAATCTCTACCCTGCGATAAGAATACAAAAACCCATCCAGAAAAAAATCCTCCTTGTAACCATAATGACTTTTTCCAGCATTGTACAAAGCGATATGTAGTTGAAGCTGAAGCATTCACTTGCTGGCTGTGTAGTCAGTGAACCAATGCAACATGGCAGACCAGAGATCCACCTTCGGGGCAGAAGTGAACTAGATCAATCAGCTCAGCTTTGTCAAAAGGAGAGCGAGAGACTAGGCTTCCTCTCCTCTTCTCGGCTCTATCCTCTGCTTCCCTTACATCTGTCTCTCTCTCTCTCTCTCTCTCTCTCTCTCTCTCTCTCTCTCTCTCTCTCTCTCTCTCTCTCTCTCTCTCTCTCCTCTCTCTCTCTCTCTCTCTCTCTCTCTCTCTCTCTCTCTCTCTCTCTCTCCACTTGTGCGGACTGTCACACAGTAGACCTTAAGTGACACATTCACTTGGCAGGCTTTTCATGTTGAATCAATTCAACTGCTGAACAAAATGTGTCCGTTTTTTATATTTTTTTAGGGGGGGGGGGACCGAAACATTAAACTGTATAGCTGCCATATACAGAATGTGTTGGCCTAAATGTCAAATGTTCTGCTACAGGAGAATGAAATATTATTTATGAACATGTAGGCTACATTTCCAATCATCATAATGATGTGATTATATTAATTTGAGCTTTTTTAATAACCTAATACAGTACACCCAAGCCATGAGGTCGAAGGAATTGTCCGTAGAGTTTGTGGGATTGTGTCGAGGCACAGATCTGGGGAAGGGTACCAAAAAAATTCTGCAACATTGAAGGTCCCCAAGAATACAGTGGCCTCCATCATTATTTAAATGGAAGTAGTTTGGAGCCACCAAGACTCTTCCTAGAGCTGGCCACCCGGCCAAACTGAGCAATCGGGGGAGAAGGTCCTTGGTCAGGGAGGTGACCAAGAACCGTATGGTCACTCTGACAGAGCTCCAGAGTTCCTCTGTGGAGATGGGATAACCTTTCAGAAGGATAATCATCTCTGCAGCACTCCACCAATCAGGCCTTTATGGTAGAGTGGCCAGATGGAAGCCACTCCTCAGTAAAAGGCACAGCCTGCTTGGAGTTTACCAAAAGGCACCTAAAGGACTCAGACAATGAGAAGCAAGATTCTCTGGTCTGATGAAACCAAGATTGAACTCTTTGGCCTGAATGCCAAGCGTCACGTCTGGAGGAAACCTGACACCATCCCTATGGTGAAGCATGGTGGTGGCAGCATCATGCTGTGGTGATGTTTTTCAGCGGCAGGGACTGTGAGACTAGTCAGGATCGAGGGAAAGGCGAATGGCGCAAAGTACAGAGAGATCCTTGATGAAAACCTGCTCCAAAGCGCTCAGGACCTCACACTGGGGCGAAGGTTCACCTTCCAACAGGACAATGACCCTAAACACAAAGCCAAGACAATGCAGGAGTGGCTTCGGGACAAGTCTCTGAATGTCCTTGAATGGCCCAGCCAGAGCCCGGACTTGAACCCGATCGTACATCTCTGGATAGACCTGAAAATAGCTGTGCAGCGATGCTCCCCATGCAACCTGACAGAGCTTGAGAGGATCTGCAGAGAAGAATGGGAGAAACTCCCCAAATACAGGTGTGCCAAGCTTGTAGCATCATACCCAAGAAGGCGTGAGTCTGTAATCACTGCCAAAGGTGCTTCAACAAAGTACTGAGTAAAGGGTCTAAATGCTTATGTAAATGTGATATATATGTAAATGTTTTTTATTCCTAGAAACCTGTGTGTAGATTGATGACGGAAAAAACAATTGAATACATTTTAGAATAAGGCTGTAACGTAACAAAATGTGGAAAAAGTCAAGGGGTCTGAATACTTTTTGAATGTACTGTATACTTAAGTATCAAAAGTAAAAGTATAAATCATTTCAAATTCCTTATATTAAGCAAACCAGATGGCAAGATTTTCTTGTTTTTTGAATTTACGGATAGCCAGGGGCACACTCCAACACTCAAATATAGTTTACAAACAAAGCATTTGTGTTTAGTGAGTCCGCCAGATCAGAAGAAGTAAGGATGACTAGGGATATTCTCTTGATAAGTGCGTGAATGGGACCATTTTCTCGTCTTGCTAATCATTCAATATGTAACAAGTACTTTTGGATGTCCGGGAAAATGTATGGAGTAAAAAGTATGTTATTTTCTTTAGGAATGTAGTGAAGTAAAAGTAAAAGTTGTCAAAAAAGATAAATAGTAAAGTAAAGTATAGATACCAAAGAAAACGACTTAAGTAGTACTTAAAAGTATTTGTACTTAAGTACCTTACACTACTGCTGATGCTAGATTTTTCTAGTTTGAGTACAAAAACAAAAATGTAATTATTTTCAACGTTTTCATGGAGGAAACTGTTCCAGTTTGGCCATGACAGTGACCTTGACCACAGAGTCCATCTGTGCAGAGGGAACAGAGAGATATTGAGGAAATGAAGACTCAATTATCCACAGACAGACAAATTATGTAAAAAATAAATAAATATGACAAAGAGAAACAGACGGTACATTTATATTATCAGATACATTTGTTAAGTCTTTGACCATCTGGAACATGTTATGTTGTAAAGTTATGTATTTGTTTATTAATTGGTTCAGCCAAGTATTCCCCAACACGCATGCATGGGCTGGAAAAAAAGGTGTCTGGAAAAAGTGAGGACAGCTTTACAATGGAGCTTCCTCAGGAACACACACACACACAAACACACACACACACATTTGACCATAACGTTCCATGTACAAACTTACAGTACAGAAATACCTGAACACTGTGTGCACTGTCAATGTAGAGTTCATATTGTTTAAGGGAATAGGGTACAAAGGGAATGGAATATCAGTACATCCAACATACTCACTGGAGAGGGAGAAGAGGTAAGGCCATAGCATAATATATTCTCAGTGAAGACTAAATGTTTTTTTCATGATTTTACTTTCTCTGTTGATTTGTCTCTTGCTGCGTGTGGTCTGTGCAGTATTCTTCTGATGGATGTGTTTTGATACTGTGACTGTCATGTTAGTGAATAATTATCCAATGTGTCATTGAGGAATCACCAGTAAACTGAACCTGAACGAAAGCAGCAGTCAGAGGTTGCTATAGTTATAGAGATACTTAATAATATTCCTGGTATTAGCTGACTAACACCCAGTTTTAGCTTAATTAAACACTCAGTCAAGTGGGGACCGCTAAGCTTAAATATTCAAAGCAGGTTAAATTAAAGGGGGAGGACAAGGTTCTCGAGTGGCATTACTATAGAAACTGTATTACATAGATGGATTACAAACCCATTTCTTATAAACTCATCAATTAGTCAGCAACTTTGATATGCAGAGAAGATGTCTGAACGCTGAAGTGTTTAAGTCTTACAACAAACACTAAGCATATTTCCTGACAACTATGATTACATAGGAGGTCATGATGAACTGTAGGTCTGGGTTATAATCCAGAATTACATATGCATAACTATAGTGTCAGATTATATTAGGCTGTGTGTGGACTTTCTGTATCATATTTTGTTACTTCAAGCAGCTGCACATCGAAGTAATAATAACATGTGAGCTGAGATTTGATACAGCACACACCCCTAGTGAATAACAGGTGAATAACTTGATACCAACTGACCCAGGTTCTGTTTTGGGTTTAGGAGCTACTGTGCACTCAAATGATACAACAGAAAACAAAATAGTCCTGCCTCTTTAACTGGTTATGATGAATTAACAATAACAGGTTTCGTAGCCAAGATAGAAGCACTGGGGAAACCTGGCTGAAATTCTCAACAGCTGTGTACATGTGCATCCCTGCCTGCCCCGCCCCCCTCCTGAGGAGGCTTCACAGCACATTGCACATGCCAGAATAGGTTCCCTCTCGCCCTCGGCTCCTCTTACCTAATTCCAGGAAAGTAAATAGTCCAGCTTGACTACAACAGGACTCGTACATGGGTCTCTGACCTGCCTACTGTCTCTGCCTCCTGTCTCTGTTTCCCGACGACATGCCTCATGCTTTCTTCCTTTATAACCTGAGTATAATAGGAAGTCTTGCTGATTTAAACTCACACACTTGCTTTAGTTGATATCTAACTGGTTGGGTTGAGAATAGAAAAGCTGTGGTATTCTGGTTACAAGCCCAGCTTTCATCTGGAATCAAAGAAGGACCCTCCTTGACCTTAGTGTGTGTCACACCTTTTGTTGATGCATTTTTCCTCCATGCGGGGTTGAGGATATCCTCTGGGCTGTGCTGCTTGTATCCCCTTTGTTTAAATGCTGAAAAGGTGAGGGGACCATTTCTGGACTTGCTCTAGTCTTTGGCTGATTACTGCTTTAGGCCTGCCTGTGTTAGATTGGAGAGATAGCAATCATCTCCCAGTAAACATCACATGCAGATGGGAGTCCGTTTTTCCAGCAGAGCCTTAACCAACGAGGGATGGCTTTCTCGTGGGATAGGCATTGTTTAGAGCAGGAAGGAAATCTATGTTGAACATAACCTATAAGAGTCTTCTCTCTGTGATGCTTTTGTCCCATCATTGAATTCTTTCCTATACAAGATTTGTAATTATACTACAACAGGTATGTTCTTATGACACTGCAGCTTTGTGTAGATCTATGACACTTGTTTCCTGTGACATCATCTCCCCAACAACCCGCGCACACACTCACACACAACGCCCTTCTAGCATAATTCTAGAAGTAATTTTCTGCTTAAGCCGAAATGGCCTTCATCAAAGGCATACCTTTAGGTCCACTTAAAATGTAAACTTGAATGTTTTGCAGCATTCGTTGCCTGAAGTTGTGCTAAATGCTACACAATAATGTGGACAGGACATTAGTAATTAGTCAAGATGAAGTAAACACAGCTTTTGCATGCTCTGAGTAAAGCATTTAAAGCATTTTAAGTATCTTCATAATTTTGTCAAACCTGCCATTTGTACGGAACAGAATATCATAAAATTTTATCTACCGTGCAACATCCTCTCTAGACGTTTCAACAATGCTCATCCTGGTTCCAAAACCAAATGCCTGATGTAGGGCCAGTGTTCGGTTTTTACTCAATCATAAGAATGATATTGGCTATTGATAAGTAGACCTATTGCATGCACATTTTGTCAACTCACAATCAATGAATGTGGCATATCAACCATTGCATATCATAATACTGGACATTAAAACCTCTTAAACGTTAAGTCCCCTATTTAGGTTGGACCGGTTCCGATAAACATGTTTGTGTACAGAGTGCTCTGTGAACAGCACTACATCAATTTCTGTGCACTCCGTGACAGCTCTGGTTGTCCAGCTTTGCATGCCTTTCTCCGCTCTCACCTGAGATGCAGTATGTGAAATCAGACACCTCATTAGCAAAGGGAGAGACAAGCCACATTTTCTGGCCTATCCAGACAAAGGATCGAACTCCCCTGGCTGTGAACCTCGCAGCTCCGCTTACAATATGGCATATAAAATGGGAGACTAGCGATTGCAGCAAACGCTGTCTCATCTCACTGTAATGTTCTCAGATGGATTTAGAGCACTCAACATGAAAAAATACAAAATTATTTTGTAGAATTGAAACAAGACCACTTTCTCTTGGTCACAATGGGACGAAATCACCTCGGGCTTAAAGCTGAAGTTGTAACGAGTCAGCAAGTATTTGAATGGCATCTGTGTGTCACGCTGCAACTAGCTCTCACAGTCTCACATCAGAATTAGACGTTCATCCATCTTTCTCAACCAGCAAACTTTGAAGTTGTTGCAAACGTCACATTTTGAAGTGTTTAAAGTTAAGTTTAGGCATTAACTCCAAATTGTTACGGTTAGGGTTTAGTTTAGGCATTAACTCCGAAATCTTAAGGTTAGGCATTAATTCTGAATGGTTAAGGTAAGGGTTAAGGTTTGGGATAGGCTTAAAGCACTAAAATCTCAAAAACAACTTTCTATCGCTGGATTCAAACTTGCAACCTTTGGAATCAGAGGCATATGCTTACGCCCATCCACCATCCCCGCCCACTATTATCCAAAACCGAACATACTTGAAGCTAATAGTGCTCACTATTGCCCCTAGCGGCCTGTTTCCACTTAATCTCATTTTTACATTTTAGTCATTTATCAGACGCTCTTATCCAGAGCGACTTACAGGAGCAATTAGGGTTAAGTGCCTTGCTCAAGGGCACATTGACAGATTTTTCACCTTGTTGGCTCAGGGATTAGAACCAGCAACCTTTTGATTACTGGCTCAACGCTCTTAACCACTAAGCTACCTGCCGCCCAAGCTATCTCCCGACGTCCTCAGACATGGATGGACGTAAAATAAAATAAAATGTTATTGGTTGCATACACATATTTAGCAGATGTTATTGCGGGTGTAGCGAAATCCTTGTGTTCCTAGCTCCAACAGTGCAGTAGTATCTAACAATTCACAACAATACACACAAATCTAAAAGTAAAAGAATGCAATTAAGAAATATATAAATATTAGGACGAGCAATGTCGGAGTTTGTGAGGGTCTTAGGGGTCAAGACAAATTTCTTCAGCCTCCTGAGGTTGAAGAGGAGCTGTTGCGCCTTCCTCACCACACTGTGTGTGTGGGTGGACCATTTCAGATTGTCAGTGATGTGTACGCCAAGGAACTTGAAGCTTTTCACCTTCTCCATTGCGGTCCCATCGATGTGGATGGGTGCATGCGCCCTCTGCTGTCTCCTGATGTCCACGATCATCTCCTTTGTTTTGTTGACGTTGAGGGAGAGGTTATTTTCGATGCACAACTCCGCCAGGGCCCTCACCTCCTCCCTGTAGGCTGTCTCATTATTGTTGGTAATCATGCCTACTACTGTTGTGTCGTCTGCAAACTTGATGATTGAGTTGGAGGCTTGCATGGCCACGCAGTCATGGGTGAACAGGGAGTACAGGAGAGGACTGAGCATGCACACTTGTGGGGCCTCTGTGTTGAGGATCAGCATGGCGGATGTGTTGTTACCTACCCTTACCACCTGGGCGCGGCCCTTCAGGAAGTCCAGGATCCAGTTGCAGAGGGAGGTGTTTAGTCCCAGTGTCCTTACCTTGGTGATGAGCTTTGAGGGCACTATGGTGTTGAACGCTGAGCTGTAGTCAATGAATAGCATTCTCACATAGGTGTTCCTTTTGTCCAGATGTGAAAGGGCAGTGTGGAGTGCAATAGAGATTGCATCATCTGTGGATCTGTTGGGGCGGTATACAAATTGGAGTGGGTCTTGGGTTTCTGGGATAATGGTGTTGATGTGAGCCATGACCAGCCTTTCAAAGCACTTCATGGCTACAGACGTGAGTGCTACGGGTCGGTAGCCATTTAGGCAGGTTACCTTAGTGTTCTTGGGCACAGGGACTATGGTGGTCTGCTTGAACCATGTTGGTATTACAGACTCAGACAGGGAGAGGTTGAAAATGTCAGTGAATACACTTGCCAGTTGGTCAGCGCATGCTCGGAGTACACGTCCTGGTAATCCGTCTGGCCCTGCGGCCTTGTGAACGTTGACCTGTTTAAAGGTCTTACTCACATTGGCTACAGAGAGCGTGATCACACAGTCGTCCAGAACAGCTGATGCTCTCATGCATGTTTCAGTGTTACTTGCCTCGAAGCAAGCATAGAAGTAATTTAGCTCATCTGGTAGGCTCGTGTCACTGGGCAGCTTGCGGCTGTGCTTCCCTTTGTAGTCTGTAATACTTTGCAAGTCCTGCCACATCCGACGAGCATCAGAACCGTGTAGTACGATTCGATCTTAGTCCTGTATTGACGCTTTGCCTGTTTGATGGTTCGTCGGAGGGCATAGCGGGATTTATTATAAACTTCCGGGTTAGAGTCCCGCTCCTTGAAAGAGGCAACTCTACCCTTTAGCTCAGTGCGGATGTTGCCTCTAATCCTTGTCTTCTGGTTGGGGTATGTACGTACGGTCACTGTGGGGATGACGTCCTCGATGCACTTATTGATGAAGCCAGTGATTGATGTGGTGTACTCCTCAATGCCATCGGAAGAATCCCAGAACATATTCCAGTCTGTGCTATCAAAACAGTCCTGTAGCTTAGCATCTGCTTCATCTGACCACTTTTTTATTGACCGAGTCACTGGTGCGTCCTGCTTTAGTTTTTGCTTGTAAGCAGGAATCAGGAGGATATAATTATGGTCAGATTTGCCAAATGGAGGGCGAGGGAGAGCTTTGTACGCGTGTCTGTGTGTGGAGTAAAGGTGGTCTAGGTTTTCTTTTCCCTCTGGTTGCACATTTAACATACTGGTAGAAATGAGGTAAAACAGATTTAAGTCCCCGGCCACTAGGAGCGCCGCCTCTGGATGAGCGTTTCCTGTTTGCTTATGGCCGTATTCAGGTAATTGAGTGTGGTCTTAGTGCCAGCATCTGTTTGTGGTGGTAAATAGACAGCTACGAAGAATATAGATGAAAACTCTCTTGGTAGATAGAGTATCTCATGATAAGCTGTAGACAACACTATCTCAAGCGAGCAAAACCTTGAGACTTCCTTAGATATCGTGCACCAGATGTTGTTTACAAATATACATAGACCGCCACCCCTTGTCTTACCAGAGGCTGCTGTTCTATCCTGCCGATACAGTGTATAACCCGCCAGCTGTATGTTATTCATGTCTTTGTTCAGCCACGACTCGGTGAAACATAAGATATTACAGTTTTTAATGTCCCGTTGGTAGGATATAAGTGCTTGTAGTTCGTTCACTTTATTATCAAGCGATTGTAAATTGGCCAATAGTAGTAGATGGCAAAGGCAGATTAGCCACTCGTCGCCGGCTCCATACCAGGCACCCCGATCTCCTTCCGCGATATCTCCTTTTCTTTCTACTGCAAATGACGGGGATGAGGGCCCTGTCGGGTGTCTGGAGCAAATCCCTCTAGTCCGACTAATTAAAGACAAATTATTCAAGGTGAGTAATCGCTTTTCTGATGTCCAGAAGCTCTTTTCGGTCATAAGAGACGGTAGCAGCAACATTATGTACAAAATAAGTTAGAAACAATGCAAAAAAACACACAAAATAGCACGGTTGGTTAAGAGTCCATAAAACGGCAGCCATCCCCTCCGGCGCCATTTTAGTCAGTTGTCTTGAAAGCACTGAAGTGTGAGATTTCCCAGTTCAGAGTTTCCAGTTGTTTTGAATGCGGCAGAACTCATGCTGGATTGACAGCATGGCCAATGTATTCAACCTTTTCTGGCCCATGGTGTTGCGTGTGAATGTTTATCCGTTTAAGCTTGGAAAAGAGACCCTTTCAGACAGATGTTTTAAATCCTTAAACCCAGACTTGGACCACACACCCTCTCCACTGAATAGCAGGCAGGGGAAGCAATATAGTGATTGCTTTGTGACCTTGTAGTTAGCCATTGATTCCTTCTAAACCCTTCATTGTTGAATTTGCGATTTCCGACTTGTTGCTGTTCACTGGACCTTATGATCACTCAGCTGCACAGCTGATGCCTGCTGGACTGTTCCTTTACACAGTACCCTGTCCTGTTTATCTGTTTAGCCTCAGACCAAACTTTCATCGCCATTACCAGTTGTTGTCTTAGCTATCTCGAATAACACCTGTGATTGCTTTATGCCTCTCTCCCATGTCAATATGCCTTGCCTATTGCTGTTCCAGTTAGTTCTTATTATACAATTTCACTGTAGAGCCCCAAGTCCCTCTCAAACTGCCTCAAATAGTTATTTGTTCCACCCCCCCATATACGCGGAGACCGGCTCAATCGGTGCCTCCAGTGATGCTATCTCTTTCATTGTTACCCAATGCTTAGGTTTACCTCCACTTTACTCATATCCTTCCATATCCTTGTCTGTACATAATTCCCTGAATCTATTCTACAACGCCCTGAAATCTGCACCCTTTATTCTCTGTACCCAACGCACTAGAAGGCCCTGCAGCCCCCAGTATCACTCCTACTCCCCAGGAGCTATCATTTGTTGACTTCTGTAAACGTAAAAGCATTGGTTTTTTGCATGTTAACATCAGAAGCCTCCTCCCTAATTTGAGTTATTCACTGCGTTAGCACACTCCGCCAACCCTGATGTTCTAGCAGTGTCTGAATCAGTGGCGGCTGGTGAAAAATATTCTCGGTGGGGCTGTGCCATACTTTTTTTTTCCTGTAACCATCGCGATATGTTTTAACACAAACTGCAGGACAGCAGTGCTCAGTGAAACATTCAGTAATTATTTAATGCCAATATTAAAAAGTTGAGGCATTCTTACACAAAAACATATTACACAAACCCAAGCCTTTCATTTGCATTTAAAGTGAACTTTTCACCATTGGTAGTAAACAGGCAACGCAACAGGCATGCTGTCAGAACAGAGTGGAAAGTGGACAATAACATGAAATTATTATAAAGTTTATAGGAAATCTTACACTGTATAAAAGGATGTATAATATAGAAATGGATATCAAGTGGATGAACTCAAACCTTTGACTGGAAGAATAGCATACAGTATTTTATGATCATACTAAATGTGACTAATTGTTAATGTGCTCCAGAACTGCAACAATTAATTGATACAAAACAACATATATACAGTAATATTAGCAAAGACACTATTAAGACTTTCTAGAGTACCATATATAACTGGATTTTTTATGCTAAGGTCAACTATATACAAAGAAACATGCGGCCAGAGCTGCTCTGTGTGTGTGTGTCTGTCATCTTATTTGTACAGGAATTTTGCCCGTCTGTCCTTCTGAGTGGCAAACCTCTCAATGACCCTTTGATTAAAGTCAGGAATGTCCCTGACAAGTTTCTTCTCCATGGAGAGCATGGCCAGAGCGTTCAGGCGATCCTGTGTCATGCTGTTTCTCAGGAAGGTCTTGATCCTTTTCAGTGTAGAGAAGCACCTTTCTGACTCAGCAGTTGTCATGGGTGTGGTGATGAGGATCTTGAGGAGGCTGGCAGTCTCTGTGAAAGTGCTCTGAAGGTTGTTCTCCATGAAGAACTGGTACAGGGGCACTGCACCACTACAAGCCTTGAACTCACTGTTCTCATAGATGAGGGACAGTTCGGTTTTGAGCTTGGCCTTGTTCAACATGGGGTACGCCTCCACGGTTGTTTCAAGCGCTGTATCGGGGAACTTCACACTGTGTTGTGGGAACAACTCTCCGTGCAATAGTGTTGCGCTGATGAGGTGCTGGGTGAAGGAGAACCTATCTTTGGCATGACTCAGGATGGTATCACATACCTGTAAAAGATACATCATCAGCTTTAATTTGCAATTAAGCTATTTTGATGCAAGTGATCCTGACTGACACATGCCTATGTCCAACTCAAGTATATGATTACCAAGGTGCTGATTGTTCAGGGTTTTGGCTACATACTACCAGGCCTGAAAAAAGTTCTAGGGGGAAACACTGACAATTACATCACAACTTACCTCTATAGCCAACCTCTGTTGTTCTCCTGGTCCCAGCATCCTCCGTCGCTTGATGGGCTGTTGCTGCTCGTCAGATGCGCTGTCCCCACACAAAGAGGGAATTGAGGCCCTGGGTCCAAAAAATAAAGTTTAATTTGATAACTTGCAATCAGACTTCTTAACTCACTGTAATTCCCCCTCAACACACAACCAGTGACTTTTATATATATATATATATATATATATATATATATATATATATATATATATAGACAGACAGACAGACAGACAGACAGACAGATAGTGTGTATATACACACAAACTATGTCTAGTAACTGCTTTTAACCTGTGATGTACATAATTAACTGATGTTATTACGTTTTAAAGCCTTTTTCTATTACATTTGTGAGAGGGATGCAACATCATTTTGTTCTGCTGTGCACTTAGCAATAAAGTTAATCTTCAATAACAACTAGGCCTCTTCTAGAAATTGACCTGGTGGACACCTGAATAATTATTACAAACTGTGTAGTACTTTCCTGCATTATTATCAACGTCTGATTGTGTCTTCTCTTTCCTTTTAAAATACTAAAACAAATATAATTGTGACGGCTCTATGATAATCACTCACTTTGATGACCAGACACATTTAGGCTTTTAAACTGTTGTAAGTGAACTATTCATCTTTCTAACAACATCTTTATCAGCCAATAGTAAATATAGTTATTTACCTGATTGTTAGCATGCTGTCTGTGAACCTCTGGACAAGTGCTTTAATGAAGACAGGGTCGATGTTCCTCTTCTGCAGCTGGCTGAAAAGCATGTCCACATTTGGCATGATCTTGTGGAACAGTGCCAGGAAAAAACAGAAAGCCTCGTCTTCGAGCATCCTCACAAAGCCCCCCGCCTCTCTGACAGTCGGGGCATCAAAGTTCCCAGAGTCTCTGATGGTCTGGAAACACGTTAGGAGGTCATCCCTGTACTCGTACACAGTGTTTACAGCGCGACTGTGGAAGTTCCACCGTGTTGTAGAGGCTCTGGGGAGTCTATGCGCAACCACTTCGTCAAGCACGGTGGTTCGCTTGGGAGACCTGGAGAAGAAAGCAGAAAATCCTGCAAGGTCGGAAAAGAAAGTGCCGATCCTGGGGATGCGTGAAGTAGCCTGCTGCATGATGAGGTTCAGCTGATGTGCATAGCAGTGGACGTAGTGCGCATTTTCGTACACATCCACTATTTTACGCTGCACTCCGCCGGTGGCTCCCCTCATCACACTTGCTCCGTCGTAAGCCTGGGCAATAAGTTTGGCCTTTTGTCCATGTGAGAGTATGGTGCTGAGCCTCTCCAGCAGCGCTGTAGCGATAATGTCGGCGGCTGCGTTCTCGATCAAAATGAACTCGAAAAAACGCTCTTGGACGTTACTTTTAGCATCGATGTAGCGTATCACAAGCACCAACTGGCAGTGGGTGGAAACGTCAGTCGTCTCGTCAGCTTGAATGGCGATAAAATCAGCACTCTTTACTTCCTCCAGGATGTAATCCTTAAGCACTGACAGCATACAGTCCAACAGCTCGTTCTGTATCGTCTTTGACGTGCCCTTAAAAACGGTAGCTGTCTTCAGGTGCTCCTCCAGCACACTGTCGAGGGAGGCAACAAAATCCACTAAGCCCCGGAAAATGCCGGGGTTGTCCGAGGAGTCAGTCTCCTCGTGCCCACGCAAGGCCAACTCAAAAGCCCCACAGAACTTCACACAATCGATAATTTTGGATAGAATGTGCCTGTTTTTATCCACCTCCTCATTGTGTTTCCTCACCGCAATCCTGTGGCCGTCATCCAGCTGCGTAGCAATGTTCACCCTTCCTAATACAGCTAGCTTTACAGAGTTGTCCATGTGTGCCCTGGTGTTCTCATGTTTCTTTACCTTCTCTGACAGGTGCTTCATATCCCTCACTCCGGTACCTGTCCATGCTGAATCTGACCCCGTTGTTTTAAAAAGCAAGCACGGAAAGCAAAATAAAGCATTAGCATCAGTGCACCCAGCTAGCCAAGCCTTCCTGGTGTACCAGCTACGGGAGAAGCCGCGCATATACTGCTTCCCTTTCTCGCTAGCCTGCTGTCTGATTGAGAGGTCAGGTTGATCTGGGCCCAGCTCTTTCACCCGAACTTTCTCTGACAAAGTTCTCCTCTCAAACGGATCTTGGAGGAGAGATTTCACCGAGTTAGGGTTGGGTCTTGGAGGAGTAACGTTTGCGCTCGCCATTGTCGTCTAGTAAAAATGGCGCCACTGGAGCCCGGTCCTTATTTTATCAGGGGCGAGCTTGGGGCGATAAAATAATCGCCCTCCTTGGATTCGATTTAAGATCGCTGATTGGCTACATTTTATGTCATACATTCATATCTTAAATTAGCAATTGGCTTAACTGCTACGTAGACCCGCCTCCTCGGGGCACTTTCTGTATCGCCCAGAGCTGACGAGGCGTTTGACAGGCAGAGGAAAGGTTGCGAATATGATTTTCTATCATATCTTACACATATTACTGTGTGCATTCCATATTTCAAACACACAAATATTGACATACTGATGTTTTTATTATTATTATTATTTTTTTTTTTTTTTTTTTTTTTTTTTTTTATCATTTTATTTAAGGGGGCGGCGCCCTAGCGCCCTCTATCGGCCAGCCGCCACTGGTCTGAATCCTGGCTTAGGAAGGCCACCAACTACAACATCTTCCATCTAGATAGAACTGCCAAAGGGGTGGAGTTGCAATCTACTGTAGAGATAGCCTGCAGAGCTCTATCATAATATCTAGGTCTGTGCCCAAACAGTTTGAGCTCCTAGTTCTAAAAATCCACCTTTCCAGAAAGTCTCTCACTGTTGCCGCTTGCTACAGACCCCCCTCAGCCCCGAGCTGTGCCCTGGACACCATATGTGAATTGATTGCCCCCCATCTATCCTCAGAGTTCGTATTGGTGACCTAAACTTGGATGTGCTTAACACCCCGGCCATCCTACAATCCAAACTAGATGCCCTCAATCTCACACAAATTATCATGGAACCTACCAGGTACATTTACATTTTAGTCATTTAGCAGACGCTCTTATCCAGAGCGACTTACAGTTAGCACATACATTATTTTATCGAACCCACAACCCTGGTGTTGCAAACGCCATGCTCTACCAACTGAGCTACATCCCCTGCCAGCCATTCCCTCCCCTACCCTGGACGACGCTGGGCCAATTGTGCGCCGCCCCATGGGTCTCCCGGTCGCGGCCGGCTACGACAGAGCCTGGATTCGAACCAGGATCTCTAGTGGCACAGCTAGCACTGCGATGCAGTGCCTTAGACCACTGCGCCACTCGGGAGAATAGGTACAAACCTAAATCCGTAAACATGGGCACCCTTATAGATATCATCCTGACTAACTTACCCTCTAAATACACCTCCGCTGTCTTCAACCAGGATCTCAGCGATCGCTGCCTGGCCCAGGTACTCGTACACAGTGTTTACAGCGCGACTGTGGAAGTTCCACCGTGTTGTAGAGGCTCTGGGGAGTCTATGCGCAACCACTTCGTCAAGCACGGTGGTTCGCTTGGGAGACCTGGAGAAGAAAGCAGAAAATCCTGCAAGGTCGGAAAAGAAAGTGCCGATCCTGGGGATGCGTGAAGTAGCCTGCTGCATGATGAGGTTCAGCTGATGTGCATAGCAGTGGACGTAGTGCGCATTTTCGTACACATCCACTATTTTACGCTGCACTCCGCCGGTGGCTCCCCTCATCACACTTGCTCCGTCGTAAGCCTGGGCAATAAGTTTGGCCTTTTGTCCATGTGAGAGTATGGTGCTGAGCCTCTCCAGCAGCGCTGTAGCGATGGTGTCGGCGGTTGCGTTCTCGATCAAAATGAACTCGAAAAAACGCTCTTGGACGTTACTTTTAGCATCGATGTAGCGTATCACAAGCACCAACTGGCAGTGGGTGGAAACGTCAGTCGTCTCGTCAGCTTGAATGGCGATAAAATCAGCACTCTTTACTTCCTCCAGGATGTAATCCTTAAGCACTGACAGCATACAGTCCAACAGCTCGTTCTGTATCGTCTTTGACGTGCCCTTAAAAACGGTAGCTGTCTTCAGGTGCTCCTCCAGCACACTGTCGAGGGAGGCAACAAAATCCACTAAGCGATCGCTGCCTGGGCCAGGTCATCAAAATCAAATAAAGGTTTATTGGTTGGTTACACAGATTTGCAGGTGTTATAGCAGGTGCAGAGAAATGCTTATGTTACATAGCTCCAACAGTAGAATGGCTCGCAAATACAATACAAATACACAAATAATCAAAAACCTAAACAGGAAATCAAGAAATGACAGAATGAGTCCAATTAACAATCCAGGGGTAGATATATTAGTGAGCATGTGTCAGAATCTATGTAAGAGTGGTTGATGTTGTTTTTTAAATCACAACATATATGTGTTTGGTGTGTTTGAATCCAGATAACTTAATATTTCGTACCTCTTTATTTTTGTTTTACTAATAGAGTCAGGAAACAACAACCCAAGACTGTCATCACCTGAGGATTTAGAGCGCCTCCACAGACAGCAGAACCTAGAGAACCAGAACCACCACTCTGAGCCGCGCTCCCTTAGCACTGTCCCCAGGAGGTATACCATCGGAGGGCAAGGGCCCCGCTGCGCCAGGGACCCCCTGACCGTGCAGCACGCTGACATAGAGAGGAAGAAAGAGGCGTTCCTGGAGCACTTGAAGCAGAGGTATCCTCACCATGCTGCTGTCATCATGGGCCATCAGGACCACCTCAGAGACCATGTAAGTGAAACAATTTTTAAATAATTTGTTGGTTCTAATTTCCCTCCATAATGGGATGCTATACACTTGTAGGTTGGTGTTGTTATTGTAATGGTGTGAGTAGAATTTAAATAATGTAGAACTGAAAGTATTGGCAATTAAATTCGATAGATGCTATTTCATCAATACATTCAATACATGAATTCAATACTATGGTGTCATGTCGGGTGTGCCTGGCCTGGAAAATAGCCTAATGTAAATCATGGAAATAGAGAAGTCAATAAACATTGTCAGTAAAACAGCATTAAGAATGGAAAAACGTCAGGATTAGCCTATGGTCCAGCCTACCTGAAATAGCAGTCGCTCTGTCTGAATGCATAGCCTTTGCGGCGTCAGAGGGGAGGTGCCGTGCGCGCGCTTATAATAGAAGTGTGGACATGCACTCGCCCATGTAGTAAAAACAAACTTTGACTGTTCTGCAAGTTTGACAGGTAAGTCCAGAACAGCATTTGGGCCACACCTGATGTCGCTTCAAGTTCAAGGAGAGCACATTTTACCAGCGAACGCCGTCTTGTTGTAGTCATTGCGAAAGAAGCCTCCTGTTTTGTTCGGAATTGAGTAGAAGGGCGCATCGCACGCACCGCTCACATTGAGCCATTTAAAATCAGCGTCGGAATTTTAAAGATGGATTTTATCGTTTCGGATTGAGGCTTTGATGTTTACGGGCTTTGATATTTACGTTCAGGTAATCATTGAAAGTACATAAGACTACTTTACCTACTTTACCCCCAGTTGTGCAGTTACAGTAGGTATAGTGCAGATGTTGGTGGTTTGCAGATAAAGGCTAGTGATAACTTGTTGGTGGTTTGCAGATAAACTTGTTCGATATGAGGAAAGCAGATACGCACAATAGCCTGCCCTACACACTTCCTAGTCAGAGTGTAGCCTATGTTACCAGTAGATCTATTATTTAGTTTTTTCCCCATTTCAATTTAGTCTAGTGCCTACACCCGAAGCACATCAATGTCTATTTACATTGATTTACATTTACATTACATTTATGTCATTTAGCAGACGCTCTTATCCAGAGCGACTTACAAATTGGTGCATTCAATTTATGATAGCCAGTGGGACAACCACTATTTATTTAAAAAAATTGGGGGGGGGGTAGAATAATTACTTTTATACTATTCCAGGTATTCCTTAAAGAGGTAGGGCTTCAAGTGTCTCCGGAAGGTGGTCAGTGACTCCGCTGTCCTGGCGTCGTGGGGGAGCTTGTTCCACCATTGGGGTGCCAGAGCAGCAAATAGCTTTGACTGGGCTGAGCGGGAACTGTGCTTCCGTAGAGGTAGAGGGGCTAGCAGGCCAGAGGTGGATGAACGTAGTGCCCTCGTTTGGGTGTAGGGTCTGATCAGAGCCTGAAGGTAAGGAGGTGCCGTTCCCCTCATAGCTTCGTAGGCAAGCACCATGGTCTTGTAGTAGATGCAAGTCTCAACTGGAAGCCAGTGGAGTGTGCAGAGGAGCGGGGTGACATGAGAGAACTTGGGAAGGTTGAACACCAGACGGGCTGCAGCGTTCTGGATAAGTTGTAGGGGTTTAATGGCAGGGATCCCAGCCAACAGCGAGTTGCAGTAATCCAGACGGGAGATGACAAGTGCCTGGATTAGGACCTGTGCCGCTTTCTGTGTAAGGTAGGGTCGTACTCTGCGAATGTTGTAGAGCATGAACCTGCAGGATCGGGTCACCGCTTTGATGTTAGCGGAGAACGACAGGGTGTTGTCCAGGGTCACGCCAAGGTTCTTTGCACTCTGGGAGGAGGACACAATGGAATTGTCAACCGTGATGGCGAGATCATAGAGCGGGCAGTCCTTCCCCGGGAGGAAGAGCAGCTCCGTCTTGCCGAGGTTCAGCTTGAGGTGGTGATCCGACATCCACACTGATACAGTGGGGAGAACAAGTATTTGATACACTGCTGATTTTGCAGGTTTTCCTACTTACAAAGCATGTAGAGGTCTGTAATTTTTATCATAGGTACACTTCAACTGTGAGAGACGGAATCTAAAACAAAAATCCAGAAAATGACATTGTATGATCTTTAAGTAATTAATTTGCATTTTATTGCATGACATAAGTATTTGATACATCAGAAAAGCAGAACTTAATATTTGGTACATAAACCTTTGTTTGCAATTACAGAGATCATACGTTTCCTGTAGGTCTTGACCAGGTTTGCACACACTGCAGCAGGGATTTTGGCCCACACCTTCTCCAGATCCTTCAGGTTTCGGGGCTGTCGCTGGGCAATACGGACTTTCAGCTCCCTCCAAAGATTTTCTATTGGGTTCAGGCCTGGAGACTGGCTAGGCCACTCCAGGACCTTGAGATGCATCTTACGGAGCCACTCCTTAGTTGCCCTGGCTGTGTGTTTCGGGTCGTTGTCATGCTGGAAGACCCAGCCACGACCCATCTTCAATGCTCTTACTGAGGGAAGGAGGTTGTTGGCCAAGATCTCGAGATACATGGCCCCATCCATCCTCCCCTCAATAAGGTGCAGTCGTCCTTTCCCCTTTGCAGAAAAGCATCCCCAAAGAATGATGTTTCCACCTCCATGCTTCACGGTTGGGATGGTGTTCTTGGGGTTGTACTCATCCTTCTTCTTCCTCCAAACACGGCGAGTGGAGTTTAGACCAAAAAGCTCTATTTTTGTCTCATCAGACCACATGACCTTCTCCCATTCCTCCTCTGGATCATCCAGATGGTCATTGGCAAACTTCAGACGGGCCTGGACATGCGCTGGCTTGAGCAGGGGGACCTTGCGTGCGCTGCAGGATTTTAATCCATGACTGCGTAGTGTGTTACTAATGGTTTTCTTTGAGACTGTGGTCCCAGCTCTCTTCAGGTCATTGACCAGGTCCTACCGTGTAGTTCTGGGCTGATCCCCCACCTTCCTCATCATCATTGATGCCCCACGAGGTGAGATCTTGCATGGAGCCCCAGACCGAGGGTGATTGACCGTCATCTTGAACTTCTTCCATTTTCTAATAATTGCGCCAACAGTTGTTGCCTTCTCACCAAGCTGCTTGCCTATTGTCCTGTAGCCCATCACCGCCTTGTGCAGGTCTACAATTTTATCCCTGATGTCCTTACACAGCTCTCTGGTCTTGGCCATTGTGGAGAGGTTGGAGTCTGTTTGATTGAGTGTGTGGACAGGTGTCTTTTATACAGGTAACGAGTTCAAACAGGTGCAGTTAATACAGGTAATGAGTGGAGAACAGGAGGGCTTCTTAAAGAAAAACTAACAGGTCTGTGAGAGCTGGAATTCTTACTGGTTGGTAGGTGATCAAATACTTATGTCATGCAATAAAATGCAAATTAATTACTAAAAAATCATACAATTTGATTTTCTGAATTTTTGTTTTAGATTCCGTCTCTCACAGTTGAAGTGTACCTATGATAAAAATTACAGACCTCTACATGCTTTGTAAGTAGGAAAACCTGCAAAATCGGCAGTGTCAAATACTTGTTCTCCCCACTGTATGTCTGCCAGACATGTAGAGATGCGATTCGCCAACTGGTTATCAGAAGGGGGAAAGGAGAAAATGAATTGTGTGTCGTCTGCGTAGCAATGATAGGAGAGACCATGTGAGGATATGACAGAGCCAAGTGACATGGTGTATAGAGAGAATAGGAGAGGGCCTAGAACTGAGCCCTGGGGGACACCAGTGGTGAGAGCACATGGTGCGGAGACAGATTCTCACCACGCCACCTGGTAGGAGCGACCTGTCAGGTAGGACGCAATCCAAGAGTGAGCAGCGCCGGAGATGCCCAACTCGGAGAGGGTGGAGAGGAGGATCTGATGATTCACAGTATCAAAGGCAGCAGATAGGTCTAGAAGGATAAGAGCAACGGAGAGCCTCCGTGACACTGATTCTTAATGTTTTGTACACTCAGTGTATGTGTATATGTATAGAGTTGCTATAAAATGTGTACAATTGTTATAAAATGTTTCACTGTTTTGTAATGGAATGGTTTCAATGACTTTAGGAGCAGTGTAACCATAGCCCTCTTCTTATGTAGTGAAGTCCACATTGCTGTTGGAGTAAAATGCTCATCCACCCACCTGTTACCCAGTGTGATCATTCTAATGGTCTGCAATAAAAGGGAGGGGTTGAGGATAAAACATTTGTCAATGTGTTCAAACACCTGGCATCTCACCAGATGGACCATGGTCTGGTCTCTCTGGTCTCTGCCCATGCATCTGCCAGCAATTAGAGGAGATCAAAGTGGGACATTTGAGCAAACTAATGCTTGGCCCCAGCTTTCATCCCTAGTGGGCTCACTGTGCTGTGTTCTCCCCTCACTTCACTATTAGTAACACCTTGAACAGTGACAGTGCTACCTTATGGTTGAGAGGTATGCAATTGTAGCTGGGGTCCATATTGGATAGATGGATTCAGTGGTTTTGGGGGCACACCTAGAAGTGTTTTTGTTCTAATAAATTCTTGACAGGCTGGGTCCATCTTGCTTTGAGAGGCTTGTAGCTGAACAAAGTGGAACTTTTGTTTTCACCCCTCAGAAATGGCAAGGTCCTTCTAGAGGGGACTTTTTGCAAGCTTTTGCTAATCAGATTGGTGAATCCCACTTTAGTGACGCTGGCTTAAACATTTAGTAGCTACAATGTGCTACGTTTACTTTGTTGCATTATTGTGCCAGCTTCAAACCGGAATCACAGTTGTAAGCACTATCACAATGTGAACTGTAATTACACTGTAGTTACACTGTACCTGTCTGTAAATATTATGTGTAGTACATGGTTTTATTCCCACTTACTAAACAATGGGACAGTCCTTTTTGTTTCATAGCCAAGTTAAAACTCCAGTGTAGGAGTCTGTAAAGTATTGGACTTGTAGGTGCCTTAAACTCCAGCACAGGTAGATTCTCTAGCTGGCCTAATCTTCAAACGCATTATAAGCACAAATATGCTGAACATATTTTCTTCAAGATGAAGTAAATTTATTGGGAAAGAATAACCAGATGTAACCAGTATGTTTTCTAACCAGTAGCCACACTTGAAGTTATCAGAGGCCTTTCAGAGTACATTTGAATAACTAAACAAATTATTTGCTCTGAGCTCAAATTTGCTCTCATGTTTTACTATTAGTGGTAAGACCTTGCCATTATGGGACAGAAAGGAGAGACCAATACTATGTTGATAGAGAATAAACATGAGGCAAAATGTACGTAGTGTTATTCCATGTTCATTGTTCTTATGGTAATGTGGATATCTTTACTGGATATCTTTATGAGTATAGAGATAACAAACCGTGTCAAAAAAGACATGTTCAAACAAGGCTTATGTTGACAAAGACATAGAATAGTTGTGTTGTAGATGCAGAGTTGAACCGAATCTGAGTAAACATTGAAACAAAGCATGTGTACTAATACTAGGCTATACTGTATACAGTGCTGTGAAAATTTATTTTCCCCCTTTCTGATTATCTCTATTTGTGCATATTGTTGACACTGAATGTTATCAGATCTTCAACCAAAACCTAATATTAGATAAAGGGAACCTGAGTGACCAAATAACACAAAAATGTGATACTTATTTCATTTATTTAATGAACAAAGTTAAGCAACACCCAATGCCCCTGTGTGAAAAAGTATTTGCCCCCTTACACTCAATAACTGGTTGTAATGACTGCAACCAAACGCTTCCTGTAGTTGTTGATCAGTCTCTCAAATTGCTGTGGAGGAATTTTGGCCCACTCCTCCATGCAGATCTGCTTTAACTCAGCGACGTTTGTGGGTTTTCGAGCATGAACTGCTCGTTTCAGGTCCTGCCACAACATCTCAACCGGGTTTAGGTCTGGACTTTGTCTAGGCCATTAAAAAACGTTACATTTGTTGCTTTTCACCCATTCTGATGTAGACTTGCTTTTGTGTTTTGGACCATTGTCTTGCTGCATGACCCAGCTGCGCTTTAGCTTTAGGATGGCCTGACATTCTCCTGTAGAATTCTCTGATACAGAGCAGAATTCATGGTTCCTTCAATGATGGCAAGTTGTCCAGGTCCTGAGGCAGCAAAGCATCACAATACCACCACTATGCTTGACCGTTGGTATTAGGTTCTTACTGTGGAATGCAGTGTTAGGTTATCGCCAGACTTGGCGGGACCCAAAATTCCACTTTTGACTCATCTGTCCATATAACATTCTTCCAGGAGTGTTGACGACCATTCAGGTGCTTCCAGGTGCTTTTTTACAAACTTGAGTCTACTTTTTGAATGGCATGGGTCCTGTTATGTCGGGTGAAAACCAAACACTGCATTCCACAGTAAGAACCTCATACCAACAGTCAAGCATGGTGGTGGTATTGTGATGGTTTGGGGATGCTTTGCTGCCTCAGGACCTGAACAAATTCTGCTCGGTATCAGATAATTTTAAAGGAGAATGTCAGGCCATCCGTCTGTGAACTGAAGCTGAAGTGCAACTGGGTCATGGATGAAAAGCAACAAATGTAAAGTTTTGGAATGGCCTAGTCAAAGTCCAGACCTAAACCCGATTGAGATGTTGTGGCGGGACCTGAAACGAGCAGTTCATGCTCGAAAACCCCAAAATGTCACTGAGTTAAAGCACATCTGCATGGAAGAGTGGGCCAAAATTCCTCCACAGTGATGCGAGAGACTGATCAACAACTACAGGAAGCGTTTGGTTGCAGTCATTGCAGCTAAAGGTGGCACAACCAGTTATTGAGTATAACGGGGCAATTACTTTTTCACACAGGGGCATTGGGTGTTGCATAACTTTGTTAATTAAATAAATGAAATAAGTATAATATTATTTTGTTATTTGGAAACTCCGGTTCCCTTTATCTAATATTAGGTTTTGGTTGAAGATCTGAAACATTCAGTGTAAAAAAAAAAAGACAATCAGAAAGGGGGCAAATACTTTTTAATGGCACTGTATGTAGATTTCATATATTCAACTTATTTCCTGTGCATCAAATAATGTAATGATAATTATGCTAGTCAAAGTGAAGTGGACAGGGCACTCTGATCCATAGAGCTGCCTGAGGTGGTTATTCACCAGTGTGTCACCATAGCCCAGTCAGTGCCAAGCTTAAAATGTAAATGCAGTGAGTGACTCAGTGTGTGTGTGTGTTTGTGTCAGGTTGCAGATGTCCCCAAAAGTCCCCCTACAGACGCAGGATGCATCAGGGACACATTCACATCACACGTGATTGATTGTGCACAAAATGGTAGCAAAATCATCTGGTTTTGTTTTCATTTTGAAGGGTTGTTGGTGGCTTATGATGAACTCAATCAGGTCCCTTCTTTTGGAGACATGAAACATATGGGTCATTGCCAAACACACAGAACCAGTCCATTATATCAGTTTTTTTTTGCGAGAATGACACATTTGTATTGACTTAAAGACTATTACTGTGTGCGTGTGTGCATGTTTCACAGTCATGCAGTGGAAGTAGATGTTACTTAAGGTTGAATACACCGCATCCATGACTACAGGACTTTAGTGAGCGTGTGTTGGTGACAGTTTCTAAATTTTTGTCTCTCCTTCTGCCTATCTAGATTAGGAGCCCCCAGCACTCTGCCAGCCTCCCACCCAGTGTAGGGGAGCAGCTGGAGCACCTCTCTGTGGCCTCTCTGGAGTCTCTGGAGACCATGTCGGAGGGAGACGGCCCTTCTGCCTTCACCCGGGGCTGCCGGGAACGGTCCAGCCTGCCGGTGGTCCACTCTGCCTACCAGACCAGGGACAGATCACTAGGTAGGTACTATGGAGCTGTCAGGGGTTTTCTTTCTTGCATGTTCTGTGTCACACAGGCTCTAAGTGTGTGATCACATGCCTTCTCTATCACTCAAGTTCTCACACGATCTCTCTCCTTGAGCACTCACACGTTTTCTCTTTCACTCCCTGTCGCTGTCCCCTCTCTTTCTCTCTCTCTCTCTGTACTGGTGTTGTTACAAACAAGTGCCCTCCTCCTACACCTCTCCAGGTGTGCTCTACCTGCAGTATGCAGAGGAGACCAAGCAGATCCAGATGCCCAATGAACTCACTAGTGGAGACACCATCCGGGCTCTGTTTGTGAGTGCCTTCCCCCAGCAGCTCACCATGAAGATGCTGGAGTCTCCCAGTGTGGCTGTCTACATCAAGGATGACACAAGAAACATGTACTACGAGCTAACTGATGTTAGGTGAGTTCATCTAGCTACATTTGTGACTTTACTTCCTGTTGTGCTTTTTTTAATGACTTTTCCCCTCCAATAAGCATGTTATGCTAGTCTATAGTGCAATACTGTACAAGATTACAGGGTACAGTAATATGATACTACCTAATGCTACGGTATGCTGGGGTTGGGCAAAAAAGGGATTGTCAAGCTTTGTGTACAGCACCATGTATACTACTATATAGTAATACAAGTATAACACTGCTTTGTGTTTTCTAAATCCAGATTTTCTCAATAAATTATGTCTCATCTATGCTGTTAAAGCAATCCATCTTTTAGTATGGATCTTCAAATTACAGGGGAGGCTTGCAAGTCATTTTGTCTCTACTTTGGCATTTCAGTGTCCAAAGTGTCACATTAATAATACTCCACCTCCTGCTCTTTCAGTTTAGGCAGGGAGGCATTAAATGTGGTATTGTTGAGGCAACAAGAGAGGAGGCCCATGTCTGAGCGTGTGCTGCTGATAACAGGGTGTCTGTCTTAACCACACCCTAATATGCACAGACACTCCTCTACAGTAGACTGATGAATATAGTACCGGGAGGGTTTCCAATTATACAGTGGAGTGGAGTTCACTGTTATGCTGTTAGATGTCGACAACCTGTGTTTACTTCAACCAGTGTAACTTTGGACATGTTTGTCTTCTTTCCAGAAATATCACACCTCACTGCTGTCTGAAGGTGTACCACAAAGACCCTGCACACGCCTTCAATCGCAGCAACACAAGGCCCAACAATGCTGACGGCAGGGTGAGTGAAGCCTGAGCCCGCATGGCAACACGGCCAAGCACACAAACTCCCCTAAGTCCCCTAAATCTAGTTGTCTAGTGCAATACCTTTGACATCAAGAAAGCTTCCGCTCCTAAATCCCTAACCAGGGGCCAGTGGTGGAAAAAGTACCCAATTGTCATACTTTAGTAAAAGTAAAGATACCTTAATAGAAAATGACTCAAGTAAAAGTAAAAGTCAACTAGTAAAATACTACTTGAGTAAAAGTCAAAAAATATTGGTTTTAAATATTCTTAAGTATCAAAAGTAAATATAATTGCTAAAATATACTTAAGTATCAAAAGTAAAAAATATAAATCATTTCAAATTCCTTATATTAAGCAAATCAGATGGCACCATTTTCTTTTTTTAAATGTATGGATAGCCAGAGGGGACACTCCAACACTCAGACATCATTTACAAACGAAGCGTGTGTTTAAACACACGCAGAGGTAGTAGGGTTGACCAGGGATGTTCTCTTGATAAGTGCATGAATTTGACTATTTTCCTGTCCTTCTAAGTATTCAAAAAAAAAAAAATGTTGGGTGTCAGGGAAAATGTATGTAGTAAACAGTACATACATTTATATAGGAATGTATTGAAGTAAAAGTTGTCAGAAATATAAATAGTAAAGTACAGATACCCCCAAAAAACTACTTAAGTAGTACTTTAAAGTAGTTCTACTTAAGTACTTTACACCACTGCCAGGGGCCCTTAGCTCATCATTCTGAGACACACACAGGGATAAAAGCAGCCTTGTGTATTCTCGACTGTAGCAGAAGCAGGACAAGAAGCAGGGTTTTTCTTCTGTGTTTGGGTATACCCTAATAAGCAGTTATGATGCCCCCCTGCATTGGTTTCCTGCTGATGTTGAGATTCCTAGTCAGAGGAACCAATATCTCGTGAACCTCTAGAATCCACTGGGCAGACGAGCATGATTCAATTGGATCCTTTTTAGGAAATGTCAGTCTTTTTACTATTCGCTTTTCGTTTTACTCTGAGGTAACAAGATCAAGCTTTTTGTTTTCATGAGCTCCTCTCTCATATGACAGGAATTCCCTGTAGTACCAGTCAGTATACCATGATCCTGATAATATGATAAACTCTCTCTTCTCATAACTGTCTTTTTTCCAATAATCACATTAGCCATGTTATAGGATCACTATATTGGACTGAATTGAAATCATGCTACATGCCACTAATGTACTACTGACTGTATGTTGATCCTTTCGAGGCAAGCTCCCATTCTGGATTAGAAATGACAAGTATTTACAGTGAAATCTTCTGTACTTCTATTACAGCAACAAACTGTCTATGAAATAGTTACGTTAGGATATTATTGACCGCCACTGAGTTAGTTCATGTCATATAGAAAGAAAGCCAGAGGACAGTAATACCGTAGCCACTGAAGATGTGTCTCAACAAACTGTTGAAAGTCATATGATATTGTATCTTGTTTCTTTCTCCAGATAGTGGCTGTCTACAATATAGTGACATAGTCCATATATAAAGCTGTGTTTGGATATGTCTGACAAAGTGTAATGACTGTAGCAGCCTGTGTTGTTCATATCCTGCTGCCTTACACACTGGCATGTTTGCATCATATTTCTCAGCAGCTGTCAGGGACTGGGCACTGGATGGGGCCGTAGAGGCTTGAGAAGAGTGTCTCTTTTCCAGCTATCAGCTTTATCACGGAGCCAGGGTGCCATGAGGGATTGTGAGGCATGTAATCCTACTGGGAAAGAGCTCAAATTCCTTCGGTGGGTGTTGTTCTCAGCCCATTGTGTTGTGGTCTGAGGAGAAGTAATGCCTAGGGATCCGAGGTCCTGTTGCTCTGGAAACCAGAGCGTCCTGTTAGATTGACGGATAGACGTACCGTGTCGAACCTTGTGTTGCAACACCAGAGGAAGAGCCTGCCTGACCATCCGCAGATTGATCCTCCGATCTACATTTTACATTTACATTTACGTCATTTAGCAGACGCTCTTATCCAGAGCGACTTACAAATAGATCTACTTGATTTAACCCGCACCTTAAATCAGACTCACCTCACTGTAAGATCAGAGTATTTATGTGAGGTTAGTAGTAGTGCAGATCTTCCTCTCCACTGAGCGATCACTTCAGATGCACTAATAGACAGAGTCCATTAGGCCCGTGGATGAAGGATGATACCATTTTTGCACTGGTCTGGAATGCATCGCAGCATGAAAATTTGGCTTTGTTTAAGTTTATTACTGTACCCACTGGTGGTCAGCCCAGCATGTTGTTCCATAGATGGAGTTTCGCCATGTGTTTTGGGGTATGAGCAGAGAACATTGATAATGCCTTGCTCTAAAAATAGTTCCTGTTTGAGGCACTCCTGTTGTTTTTTCACAGGTTGAGAAAAGGTTAATGGGGGAAAACAAGATACAAAATATTTCCATTGTAGCAGGCCTACAGTCTTAGAAAAAAAGGTGCTATCTAGAACCTAAAAGGGTTTTTCGGCTGTCCCCATAGGAGAACACTTTGAAGAACCCATTTTAGTTCCAGGTAGAACCCTTTTGGTTCCAGGTAGAACCCTTTTGAGTTCCATGTAGAACCCTTTCCACAGAGGGTTCTACATAGAACCCAAAATAGTTCTACCTGGAACCAAAAACGGTTATCCTATGGGGACAGTCGAAGAACCCATTTGGAACCCTTTGTTCTAAGACTGTATGTTAAATGTCTACGTATGTCTGCTTTGTTGTGGAAATATTGTGGTATCAATGTTAAGCTCAAAAGGCCATGAAGATAATTCTGCTATAATTATGCACAAAATACTATAACTATAGCAAACATAGCAGATGGCATGTTGTGTATGAACGAGCTGCTCTCTTATTTGCATAAAAAATACAGTCGGTTTAATACTCTATTTCACTTTATTCACAGTCGTTGTGAATTAGGTCACCTGTTTGACTCTAGGGTTAATACTAGAATATTCAAATTGCATTTATATCTGTCATGACACGCCACCTTATGAAGAGTGAATAAACAATCCCTATGAAAAAGCAGAAAGCCAAGTTCGCTCACTCCCCTCTTGCATCATGCAACCGTTCTAGAACTCTCTTATCATTTTTTTACATTTACATTTTAGTCATTTAGCAGACGCTCTTATCCAGAGCGACTTACAGTTAGTGAATACATATATTATTATTTTTTATACTGGCCCCCCGTGGGGTATGTTAAAATCTGCTGAACTGCTGAAGGTAAAGCATTTAGCACGAAGACTAGGAAGAGTATGAGTACTATAAGAAGTATATTCTTGAGAATACAGTCAACTATTAGGCTACTGTACTTTTGCTTAGATTTGCTACAGTACATGATCTGAAGTGTATGTACACTCTTAGAAAAAAAGGTGCTATCTAGAACCTAAAAAGGTTTTTCGGCTGTCCTCATAGGAGAACCCTTTGAATAACAATTTTTGGTTCCAGGTAGAACCCTTTTGGTTCCAGGTAGAACCCTTTCCACAGAGGGTTCTATATACATGGAACCCAAAAGAGTTCTCCCTGGAACCGAAAAGGGTTCTACCTGGAACCACATTTTTTTATCCTATTGGGACACCCGAAGAACCCTTTTGAAACCCTTTTTTCTAATAGTTAAAAAAAAAAAATATTCCTCAATTATTAGCCTACATTTGCTTAGATTAGCTGCAGTACAGTGATATGCACAGGGCTCTACAGTGCAACCATTTTACTGGCATATAATAGCTGTGCAACCTGGAATTTTTATAAAGAAATCACCCAGATGATAATTGTTGCAGTGATTACTTCACTGTACCGCAGCCCCTGAGAGCCAGGGAGAAGACACAGAGCGCAGATTCATGATTGTCATGCTTGCACCATTACTACAAAGAAAACAGCTTGTTACCTACATTTCTTTGTGTGCTTTTACATTTTTCAACTTTGGCACACACTTGCTCCTTGTAAAAAAGGTCTGTTTTACACATCAACAAACTGCTTGATTCATGGACTGTTTTACAGAATCGTGTCAAGTCAATTTTATGTGACAGTATGATGTAAACAATCTTTTGGATTGTTGTTGTGAAAAGGTTCTAAAGTGAATACAGACAAAGATGCAGATCAGGGAGAATTATGTGTCAATGCAATGGTAATGTTGGGAGTTACTCATACTGCATATTGATCTTGTCCTGCACTCTGCATGGTGAGGCATGACCGTGCAGCAAAGACAGTGTTGTTTAGCTGTGGTACCATTCAACCTTTGTGGATGTGGTTTTCCTCTCTGTTTCTATCAGACTTTGTGTATGGCCTTTGTCAAAACAGATGCTTATTCTGTCTACAATTGGACATTTTGAAAGCAATATTTTGACATGTATGACAGTCAGGGACAACAGAATATGTTTTTATAGATTTAATGTTGAGGACACAGACACCGCTAACCTAATAACTGAGAGTCTCTCTGCATAGCTCATTAAGTTTTGTAGTAGCATTATTTTCTAGTCTCTTTCCTTTGACTTTAAGACTATATGTTCTCTGAATTTCCTCCTGTCTACAGATACCAAGGGAGATACGGTATGGAAGTCATAGCCCTGTCCACACTTTACAATCCACCCGCAGTCCTGTCCACGCCATTCAGGGGTCCATGTCTCCCCCCACGGTCCGCTCCATGCCCTCCTCCCCCTCCAGGATCCCCTATGGCCACCGGGCTGGGGGAGGGGTGCCAGGCAGTGCCACCCTCCCCAGGGCCGGCATGTCCTGCGGGCCACCCAGCAGGTCCGTTACCCCCTGCCCCAGTGCCATCCTGGAGAGAAGAGACGTCAAACCTGATGAGGACCTGAGCAGTAAGAGTATGGCACTGGTGCGTGCCGACAAGCTGTATGTCAACGTCACTGACCCCTACGCTGTCCAGGAGGGCCGGCTGAGTATCGCCTCCTCACAGGGGAGCAGCCACATGGGGGACGTGGTCGACATGGGTGGTGGTAGCCTCCACCGGGCCTCGGTCAAGTCCACAGCCTCCTATACAGAGAACCCGGAGCAGCAGCACTCCCTCTACAGGCAGAAGTCCCGGAGGTACGGGGAAAGCCAGGGACTACCGCCGTTCGGCACCAAAACCCCACCACCTTCCCCTCTAAGAGTGAATGAGGTCAGGAGGATTGACAACCACGGCCCTGTGGCCCCGGAGAGAGGGTCTCCTATTCGCCGGTCCCTGCGGAGGGAGAGTAATGGTAATACTGTGGAGGTGGTGAACAGGACCAGGGGTAGTGTGTCCTCTGTGTCCTCCTCTCCTGTTTTCCTGGAGTTCCCCCCAGGGCACCATGGGGACAAATTGTTGCAGGGTCACCTCACCCCCAATGACCCTCAGACCAGGTGAGACAAATAACAGAGAGCAAGGCTGGGCAGTCTGAGGCTAACTACCACTTGAATTTTGAATTTTGGGTTTTATTTTGGGTCCCCTGTAGCTCAGTTGGTAGAGCATGGCGCTTGCAACACCAGGGTTGTGGGTTCGTTTCCCACGGGGGGCCAGTATGAAAAATGTATGCACTCACTAACTGTAAATCGTTCTGGATGAGAGTGTCTGCTAAATGACTCAAATGTAAATGTAATGAACTACATACCACAGTACTACATAACACAATATTGTTATACACTACATAGCACTGTATTGTGAACTACATGGCACAGTATTATGAATTACATAGTGCTGTATTGTGAACTACACAGCACAGTATTATGAACTACATAGCTCAGTATTGTGAAGTAAATAGCGCTGTATTGTAAACTACATAGCACAGTATTATGAACTATATAGCACAGTAACACAGTATTATGAACTACATAGCACAGTATTATGAACTATATAGCACAGTATTGTGGACTCCATAGCACATTATTGTTTTGGGCCAAACGTATTGTTTTTTGCAGTGAGCGAATGAAGGCCATGGAACAACAGATCGCCAGTCTTGCTGGCCTTGTTCAGCATGCACTTGCTATTGGGCCAGCTGAGAGAGATGGAAGGACTGCTTCTCCTTTCCATGTAAACAACAGTGCAGGTAACTGTTATTACACAACTGTATTAGTGGTACAAAGTCAAATTTGTATTAGTTTTTGATGGTTCCATACATGGATATTGAAAGTTATGTTGTATCTGCCCTATTTTATCCCACATTACAGTAACTCATAGAGTTGTGTCTAACTGATCTGATGTGTAGGAGTGTCACCAGTTCCTGCAGCCAGAAGCCCTGCCCTCCTGGCAGATGCCTCCTGTGCTCGAGTCTCTCAGGCCCCTCCCCCTGACCCCACCCTGCAGGTCACACTGACCACGGTCAGGAGGAATGTCACTGATCTCCGACAGCAGCTGCACCAACTCAGACAGCTACAGGTAGTCAAGCCACCTGCTCATTACATTCATCCGTTATCTGCATAGATACAATGAACAGGTAACTCTGCCAAAATAAAGGAAACGCCAAAATAAAGTGCCTTGATAGGGCGTTGGGCCACCACGAGCAAGAACAACTTCAATGCACCTTGGCATAGATTCTACAAGTGTCTGGAACTTTATTGGAGGGATTTGACACCATTATTCAATTTTTCCACCATAATTTGGTATTTTGTTGATGGTGGTGGAAATCGCTGTCTCAGGCGCCACTCCAGAATCTCCCATAAGTGTTCAGTTGGTTTGAAATCTAGTGACTTAGAGCCCCGTGGCATATGGTTAACATAATTTTCATGCTCATCAAACCATTCAGTGACCACTGGTGCCCTGTGGATGGGGGCCTTGTCATCCTATGGGGGCATAGCCATGGTAGCCAAAATAATGGCCTGCCCAGCATTTGTATACATGACCCTAAGCATGATGGGATGTTAATTGCTTAATTATCTCAGGAACCACACCTGTTTGGAAGAACCTGCTTTCAATATACTTTCTATCCCTCGTGTACTCAAGTGTTTCCATTATTTTGTCAGTTACCTGTACACGTACACAGTATATTTTTATGAGGTGTGTGGTTGTATGTGATCAACAGCTTTGGGTACTCAAGGCACACATCACGATCATCCAAATCTGCATATATACAGTATATCTTAATTAGGTTTTTATGTCGTCCTCCAAAAAACGAATTCAGCCATTACATTCATCACATTCATCCATCACATAGCTGTATATTAGCCATTAGATAGACTGTTTGTAATACCACCGAGAGTCCTGAGACCAGTGTGTGTGATGATCCATCCACAGATGCAGAATCAGGACAGTGTGAGGGTGATACTGAAGAGAGCGGAGCAGGAGCTGGCTGGGGTGATGTCTGAGACCCTACAGAGACAGCAGCATGAGACAGAGCCTGCCCAGAGACAGAGGACCACAGTGGATGAGGAGAGACACAAGTACCTGGCAATGGAGGAGAGAGTACTGGCCCAGCTCAGGTAAGGGTTTGGAAGTATTGTAGAGACCCACAAACTGATTGACAGGATAGATGTTTAATGAGGGCATTGACTTTCTTTTGCCTATTTTACTTTTGTACACTCATTGGTGCTTGTCAAATAATAGTAAAGAATATGATCTTAGTTTCAGGTTATTAGGATACACATGGTATACACAGTCCAATGAATTGTTTACTTGCATACTTAATTAAGTATTATGATCTTAAGGCATCGGATTAGAATTCTAATTCGATGTGCTATGGTAGCCTTTCAACATTCACAATTTAAACAATAAACAGTAATCAGACGATAGCAATCCGCTCCAGATGCCATATTAGTTTTTTTATGTGCCTAAACTGCAGCTGCTGAAACTAACTGCGTGAACTAACTGCGTGATCTCATGTTGGAATGTGAAGTAATATAATTACGCAATTAGGTTCAGCTAAAGTGGGATTAATTAATCAACTGGGATTATGCAATCGGAACAGATTCCAGTGATATATTAAATGTTACGCAACAATGAGTCATCCTCCTGTAGCTCCTCCCACCAGCCTCCTCTGACCAGTATGTGGTACATACAGTATCCCAGCTATGGAATGAGTCATTGGCGTTCTGCCAAAAATGGATAGTAATGTTGCACAATGTTTAAATATGCTAATGAGGCTGTTTAGTGTGTGATCTATGGGGACTGTGTTATATACTGTGATAGGAGAGAAATGTAATGGAGTCAAAGCAAATGTCTTACTTTACTATTGTCAGCTCATTGGGCCAAATTAATCTTGGAAATAGGCTCACTGGGGGGGTTAGAAAATATGTGTATATATACAGTGAGGGGAAAAAAAGTATTTGATCCCCTGCTGATTTTGTACGTTTGCCCACTGACAAAGAAATGATCAGTCTATAATTTTAATGGTAGGTTTATTTGAACAGTGAGAGACAGAATAACAACAAAAAAATCCAGAAAAACACGTCAAAAATGTTATAAATTGATTTGCATTTTAATGAGGGAAATAAGTATTTGACCCCCTCTCAATCAGAAAGATTTCTGGCTCCCAGGTGTCTTTTATACAGGTAACGAGCTGAGATTAGGAGCACACTCTTAAAGGGAGTGCTCCTAATCTCAGTTTGTTACCTGTATAAAAGACACCTGTCCACAGAAGCAATCAATCAATCAGATTCCAAACTCTCCACTATGGCCAAGACCAAAGAGCTCTCCAAGGATGTCAGGGACAAGATTGTAGACCTACACAAGGCTCGAATGGGCTACAAGACCATCGCCAAGCAGCTTGGTGAGAAGGTGACTGTCACGAGGGTCTATGTCGTTTAAATATGACCAAGGCGCAGCGTGTCCAAGAAACATGACTTTATTATTTCAAAGTCTGGAACAAAACAACAAAACAAGACCGATATGTGAAGTCCTCTGCAACACTGACAGAACTTGGAACAAAAACCCACAAATCCCACAGGAAAACATACAGATTAAATATGGCTCCCAATCAGAGATAACGAGCCGACAGCTGACACTCGTTACCTCCGATTGGGAGTCAATGACCAAAGCTAGAAATGAACCCAACAGAAAGGCAAACCTAGAAATACACACAACTGCCCAACATAACCAAACCAAAACCCAACAACACAAAATACACCCTGGCTCAAATACAAACGTCCCGGAGCCAGAGTGTCACAGTACCCCCCCCTAAAGGTGCGACCTCCGGGCGCACCAGCATACAGTCTAGGGGAGGGTCTGGGTGGGCGTCTGTCCACGGTGGCGGTTCTGGCCCTGGTCGTGGTCCCCACCCCACCTTAGTCACTATCCGCTTCCGTAGCCTCCTCCACATGACCACCCCCCAACTAAACCCCACTGGATTAAGGGGCGGCACCGGACTAAAGGGCAGCACCGGACTAAGGGGCAGCACCGGACTAAGGGGCAGTACCGGACTAAGGGGCAGCACCAGGATAAGGGGCAGCACCGGGCTAAGGGACAGCACCGGACTCAATGGCAGATCCTGGCTGGCTGGCTCTGGCGGGTCCTGGCTGGACGGCTCTGGCGGATCCTGGCTGGACGGCTCTGGCGGATCCTGGCTGGACGGCTCATGGCTGGCTGAAGGATCTGGCTTCTCATGGCTGGCTGACGGATCTGGCTGCTCATGGCTGGCTGACGGATCTGGCTGCTCATGGCTGGCCGACGGATCTGGCTGCTCATGGCTGGCCGACGGATCTGGCTGCTCATGGCTGGCTGAAGGATCTGGCTGCTCATGGCTGGCTGACGGATCTGGCTGCTCATGGCTGGCTGACGGATCTGACTGATCCTGTCTGGAGGAAGGCTCTAGCGGCTCCGGTCTGGCGGACGGCTCTGAAGGCTCATGGCAGACGGGCGGCTTTGCAGGCTCAGTCCAGACGGCCAGTTCAAACGCCTTAGGGCAGACGGGCAGTTCAGGCCCCGTTGAGCAGACGGCAGACTCTGGCCGTCTGAGGCGCACCGTAGGCCTGGTGCGTGGTGCCGGAACTGGAGGTACCGGGCTGAGGACACGCATCTCAGGGCTAGTGCGGGGAGAAGCAACAGGGTATGCTGGACCCTGGGGACGCACATAAGGGCTAGTGCGGAGAGCCGGAACAGGGCATGCTGGACCCTGGGGACTCACATAAGGCCTAGTGCGGAGAGCCGGAACAGGGCATGCTGGACCCTGGGGACTCACATAACGCCTAGTGCGGAGAGCCGGAACAGGGCATGCTGGACCCTGGGGACTCACATAACGCCTAGTGCGGAGAGCAGCAACAGGACGCACAGGACTCGGGGAACACACAGGAGGCTTGGTGCGTGGTGTAGGCACTGGTGGTACTGGGCTGGAGCGGGGAGGTGGCGCCGGAAATACCGGACCGTGCAGGCTTACAGGCCCCCTTGAGCACTGAGCCTGCCCAACCTTACCCGGGTTGATGCTCCCCGTCGCCCGACCAGTACGGGGAGGTGGAATAACCCGCACCGGCCTATGTGGGCGAACCGGGAACACCATGTGTAAGGCTGGTGCCATGTACGCCGGCCCGAGAAGACGCACTGGTAGCCGGATGCGTTGGGCCGGCTTCATGACTTCTGGCTCAACGCTCACTCTAACCCGGCCGATACGTGGAGCTGGGATGGTGACGCACACCACAGGCGTAGTGCGTAGAGCAGGAACCGGCCGGGCTGGGCTGGCGACGCACATCGTGGACCTGGTGCGTGGAGTAGGAACAGGCCGAGCTGGGCTGGCGACGCAAATCGTGGACCTGGTGCGTGGAGTAGGAACAGGCCGGTCCGTACCGGGAACACACACCACTGGCCTTAACTGGGGATCAGGAACGGGCCGGACCGGACTGGTAACACACCTCAGTCTCTCACGCCGTGCCACAACAACTTCCCTCCCTCTACTCGCCAATGGCTCCCGTAATCCGAAAGCCTTCTCTCCACCTCTACCTGTGGCAGCCTCCTGCTGCCCAGCCGCCCAAGCCATGTGCCCCCCCCAAAAAATTATTTGGGGTTGCCTCTCATCCTTCCGACGATGGCCCTGCCGACGCCGTTGCTCCTCTCTCCGTCGCCTCTCCACTGTCTCGCTCCATGGACGGCGATCCATCCCATCCAGGATTTCCTCCCAAGTCCATGACCCTTTTCCGTCCAGTATCTCCTCCCATGTCCATGAATCCTTTATAGGTGGATACTGTTGCCGCTTGACACGCTGCTTGGTCCTATTACGGTGGGTTTTTCTGTCACGAGGGTCTATGTCGTTTAAATATGACCAAGGCGCAGCGTGTCCAAGAAACATGACTTTATTATTTCAAAGTCTGGAACAAAACAACAAAACAAGACCGATACGTGAAGTCCTCTGCAACACTGACAGAACTTGGAACAAAAACCCACAAATCCCACAGGAAAACATACAGATTAAATATGGCTCCCAATCAGAGATAACGAGCCGACAGCTGACACTCGTTACCTCCGATTGGGAGTCAATGACCAAAGCTAGAAATGAACCCAACAGAAAGGCAAACCTAGAAATACACACAACTGCCCAACATAACCAAACCAAAACCCAACAACACAAAATACACCCTGGCTCAAATACAAACGTCCCGGAGCCAGAGTGTCACAGTGACAACAGATTGTCCGATTATTCGCAAATGGAAGAAACACAAAAGAACTGTCAATCTCCCTCTGCCTGGGGCTCCATGCAAGATCTCATCTTGTGGAGTTGCAATGATCATGAGAACGGTGAGGAATCAGCCCAGAACTACACGTGAGGATCTTGTCAATGATCTCAAGGCAGCTGGGACCATAGTCACCAAGAAAACAATTGGTAACACACTACGCCGTGAAGGACTGAAATCCAGCAGCGCCCGCAAGGTCCCCCTGCTCAAGAAAGCACATATACAGGGCCGTCTGAAATTTGCCAATGAACATCTGAAAAATTCAGAGGAGAACTGGGTGAAAGTGTTGTGGTCAGATGAGACCAAAATCGAGCTCTTTGGCATCAACTCAACTCGCCGTGTTTGGAGGAGGAGGAATGCTGCCTATGACCCCAAGAACACCATCCCCACCGTCAAACATGGAGGTGAAAACATTATGCTTTGGGGGTGTTTTTTTGCTAAGGGGACAGGACAACTTCACCGCATCAAAGGGATGATGGACGGGGCCATGTACTGTCAGATCTTGGGTGAGAACCTCCTTCCCTCAGCCAGGGCATTGAAAATGGGTCGTGGATGGGTATTCCTGCATGACAATGACCCAAAACACACGGCCAAGGCAACAAAGGAGTGGCTCAAGAAGAAGCACATTAAGGTCCTGTAGTGGCCTAGCCAGTCTCCAGACCTTAATCCCATAGAAAATCTGTGGAGGGAGCTGAAGGTTAGAGTTGTCAACCTCGAAATCTTAATGACTTGGAGAAGATCTGCAAACAGGAGTGGGACAAAATCCCTCCTGAGATGTGTGCAAACCTGGTGGCCAACTACAAGAAACGTCTGACCTCTGTGATTGCCAACAAGGGTTTTGCCACCAAGTACTAAGTCATGTTTGCAGAGGGGTCAAATACTTATTTCCCTAATTAAAATGCAAATCAATTTATAACATTTTTGACATGCGTTTTTCTGGATTTTGATGTTGTTATTCTGTCTCTCACTGTTCAAATAAACCTACCATTAAAATTATAGACTGATCATGTCTTTGTCAGTGGGCAAACGTACAAAATCAGCAGGGGATCAAATACTTTTTTCCCGCACTCTACTGTTTATAGCTGTTATGTAATCTTGAGAGAACTTTTTGGGTGGGAAAACAGATATTGGATAGTGGTCCAGACATGCATGTACTTGCTTTGTGACTTTGGATGAAACATTGTCCCTTCAAAATAATCCAACCGTTATGGTCCTTTTATGTTCATCTTAACCATTTCATCAGGAAATGAATTGACTAAAATACTTTTACATTGGTCATGGCCATTGTTCTGCATCTGGCTGTTAAACACCTGTTTTGAGTGTTCTTTTCTGTGGAGTAATTTGATTGCAGCAGCTGACACCGAGACTGCTCTTGTCAGACTGTTGTCAACAAACAGCTTCTGACTGAGGAAGTCAAACAGGTTTCTACTCTGTCAGCAACAGTGTGTCTTTAAGTTTGAACTCTCCTCCTGATATAACATCAGGGCTAGCTTAAAACTGGATAGAAGGGTAATGGGAAGCTTAGGTTTTTAAACATGATCTTGTCTATAACATTTTACTGCAACATTTTGAAAATCAGTTGTATGTCTTGAACTCAACGTTTGCTGCCATCTTGTCTATTGCTGGTTATTACATTAGGAGAAATTGTCATGCAAAAACTACAGTGGCTATGAGAAGTTTTCCCACTGACAAAGACATGATCAGTCTATAATTTTAATGGTAGGTTTATTTGAACAGTGAGAGACAGAATAACAACAACAAAATCCAGAAAAACACATGTCAAAAATGTTATGAATTGATTTGCATTTTAATGAGGGAAATAAGTATTTGACCCCTCTGCAAAACATGACTTAGTACTTGGTGGCAACACCCTTGTTGGCACTCACAGAGGTCAGACGTTTCTTGTAGTTGGCCACCAGGTTTGCATACATCTCAGGAGGGATTTTGTTCCACTCCTCTTTGCAGATCTTCTCCAAGTCATTAAGGTTTCGAGGCTGACGTTTGGCAACTCGAACCTTCAGCTCCCTCCACAGATTTTCTATGGGATTAAGGTCTGGAGACTGGCTAGGCCACTCCAGGACCTTAATGTGCTTCTTCTTGAGCCACTCCTTTGTTGCCTTGGCCGTGTGTTTTGGGTCATTGTCATGCAGGAATACCCATCCACGACCCATTTTCAATGCCCTGGCTGAGGGAAGGAGGTTCTCACCCAAGATTTGACGGTACATGGCCCCATCCATCATCCCTTTGATGCGGTGAAGTTGTCCTGTCCCCTTAGCAGAAAAACACCCCCAAAGCATAATGTTTCCACCTCCATGTTTGACGGTGGGGATGGTGTTCTTGGGGTCATAGGCAGCATTCCTCCTCCTCCAAACACGGCGAGTTGAGTTGATGCCAAAGAGCTCGATTTTGGTCTCATCTGACCACAACACTTTCACCCAGTTCTCCTCTGAATTTTTCAGATGTTCATTGGCAAACTTCAGACGGCCCTGTATATATGCTTTCTTGAGCAGGGGGACCTTGCGGGCGCTGCAGGATTTCAGTCCTTCACGGCGTAGTGTGTTACCAATTATTTTCTTGGTGACTATGGTCCCAGCTGCCTTGAGATCATTGACAAGATCCTCCCGTGTAGTTCTGGGCTGATTCCTCACCGTTCTCATGATCTTTGCAACTCCACGAGGTGAGATCTTGCATGGAGCCCCAGGCCGAGGGAGATTGACAGTTCTTTTGTGTTTCTTCCATTTGCGAATAATCGCACCAACTGTTGTCAACTTCTCACCAAGCTGCTTGGCGATGGTCTTGTAGCCCATTCCAGCCTTGTGTAGGTCTACAAGCTTGTCCCTGACATCCCTGGAGAGCTCTTATGTCTTGGCCATGGTGGAGAGTTCGGAATCTGATTGATTGATTGCTTCTGTGGACAAGTGTCTTTTTATACAGGTAACAAACTGAGATTAGGAGCACTCCCTTTAAGAGTGTGCTCCTAATCTCAGCTTGTTACCTGTATGAAAGACACCTGGGAGCCAGAAATCTTTCTGATTGAGAGGGGGTCAAATACTTATTTCCCTCATTGAAATGCAAATCAATTTATAACATTTTTGACATGCGTTTTTCTGGATTTTGTTGTTGTTATTCTGTCTCTCACTGTTCAAATAAACCTACCATTAAAATTATGAACTGATCATGTCTTTGTCAGTGGGCAAACGTACAAAATCAGCAGGGGATCAAATACTTTTTCCCTCACTCTACTGTTTATAGCTGTTATGTAATCTTGAGAGAACTGTTTGGGTGGGAAAACAGATATTGGGAAACATCTATTTACCACACTTTCTCACGCTTACCATAGTTCTTATGGATAGTGAGTCCCTTGTAGGTCCAGACATGCATGTACTTGCTTTGTGACTTTGGATGAAACATTATCCTTCAAAAGAATCCAACCGTTATGGTCCTTTTATATTCATCTTAACCATTTCATCAGGAAATGAATTGACTAAAATACTTTTACATTGGTCATGGCCATTGTTCTGCATCTGGCTGTTAAACACCTGTTTTGAGTGTTCTTTTCTGTGGAGTAATTTGATTGCAGCAGCTGACACCGAGACTGCTCTTGTCAGACTGTTGTCAACAAACAGCTACTGACTGAGGAAGTCAAACAGGTTTCTACTCTGTCAGCAACAGTGTGTCTTTAAGTTTGAACTCTCCTCCTGATATAACATCAGGGCTAGCTTAAAACTGGATAGAAGGGTAATGGGAAGCTTATGTTTTTAAACATGATCTTGTCTATAACATTATACTGCAACATTTTGAAAATCAGTTGTATGTCTTGAACTCAACGTTTGCTGCCATCTTGTCTATTGCTGGTTATTACATTAGTTGAAATTGTCATGCAAAAACTACAGTGGCTATGAGAAGTTTTCCCACTGACAAAGACATGATCAGTCTATAATTTTAATGGTAGGTTTATTTGAACAGTTAGAGACAGAATAACAACAACAAAATCCAGAAAAACGCATGTCAAAAATGTTCTAAATTGATTTGCATTTTAATGAGGGAAATAAGTATTTGACCCCTCTGCAAGACATGACTTAGTACTTGGTGGCAAAACCCTTGTTGGCAGTCACAGAGGTCAGACGTTTCTTGGAGTTGGCCACCAGGTTTGCACACATCTCAGGAGGGATTTTGTTCCACTCCTCTTTGCAGATCTTCTCCAAGTCATTAAGGTTTCGAGGCTGACGTTTTTTCTGGATTATTTTGTTGTTATTCTGTCTCTCACTGTTCAGATAAACCTACCATACAAATTATAGACTGATAATTTCTTTGTCAGTGGGCAAATGTACAAAATCAGCAGGGGATCAAATACTTTTTTCCCTCACTGTATTAGTTGAGCAGTGAGCACAATCATAACATAGGGCCAATCTCCAATGTCTTTCCTTGTCATTCCAAGCATGACCATTGGTTTTACTGTAATGTAATGGCCTGATGTGTAACCTAACATGTCTCTCAGGGAGGTAGAGGAGTATGTGGACCGTCTGAGAAAAGGCTTGTCCTCTGGCCCAGGTCAGCTGTCAGTCACCCTTAGGGACGTGGAGGAGGGAGCTGTCAACCTCAGGAGGGTGGGAGAGGCCTTGGCTGGGCTTAAAGGTGAGCACTGTCTGGGGCTGCAGTTAGAGGTTAGCACATCACTGACCACAGGTAGAAGATGTTGTGCAAGCGATTCAGAGTTACCGATAGCAGGAGGTATTCCACAGCTACAGTAGCAGCATTAATCAAATCCAATAGTTATTCACAGACAGTTATGTAATGTTTTAAGGTAAGGGTTAGCTAACGCCTCATTGAATGTGTGACAACATTTGGATTTATGGCCTGACTACCTCCTCCCTCCTCCCTCCCTCCCCCTCTCCCTCCCTCCCTTCGTCAGGTGAGTTCCCCAGCCTGCAGGGGAAGATGCGGACAGTTCTGCGTGGGGAGGTAGAGGCGGTGCGCTTTCTGAAGGAGGAGCCTCACAAGATGGACAGCATGCTTAAGAGGGTCAAAGCCCTGACAGAGGCTCTCAGCGGTCTCAGAAGGTACATGCTGCCCCTGTATATCCTCCAGGTAAGAGGATGATTGATGATCTGAGTAATCGAATAAAGTCATGTTGCATTCCCTTCAGATGTGTCACAGAGAATCATCATCACGATCACGAGCCTGGAGCAGCCAAAGCAGCCATAGAGGGGACTGTAGAGCCTGCCATTGCCCAGTCTGATCCCCCACTGAAGAATCTCCTCACCGTGGAGTCCCCCAAACCCCAGCCCAGGTCCTCTGTCAGACCGCCCCTACCCCAGCTCCAGGGCCAGAACCCCGCAGGCAGGCAAGACATGGCCCCCACCTCTCCTGTCGTCATCCACCATGTGAAGAGCTCTCCCGTCAACATGCAGCCGTGTCAGCACTCAGCGGCCCTGCCACACCACCACCACCCCAGCCCCCCGCTGACCCCTACCCATGGCCGAGACTCCCCCACCGTGGCCAAGGTCAGTCCCTGCAGCCGGGAGAACAGCCCAGCCCTGCAGAAGAGAGTGATCCCCTGGTGCGGAGATGGACCAGCCCCCATGGCCAGCAGCATTGAGACCACCACACAACCACCTGGCTCAGAAGACAACCAAACCAACAGGGGCAGCATCAAAAACAGAGTCATGGACATCGAGGTAGTCATCCGTCTGAAATATAATCTCAGCGATTATATAATAAAGAGACAAGGTGTCTTGGGTTGAGCTGGAGTGTATCTATAAACCTCAGTGGTATGTTACTTACTGTGTAATATAATCATAGAGCATAGTATAACTGATTAAGCATAGGCTTCTGTAATCTCAGTAAAGGCGTCCAATTTCCGATCTGTATGAATTGAGATGTCTGGGCCTCTCTCTCTCTCACCCCACAGACTGCAGAGAGAGAGGGTGACCTGGAGGAGGGGAGGCCACCACAGAGATCAGCCACCTCTGCTGGGAGTGAGTTTGAGCAGATTCTCCAGGAGGCCCAGGCCAGCCTGATGAGGGCCATCCCCGACCTGGAGTTGATCGAGACGGGGAGGAGGGATTCTCAGTCTCCCAATCCACCCCTAGCTCCAGACCAGCCATCTCTCCCCCAGACCCTCCCAGACCCAAAGATGCCCCTCAACACTCCACTGCCAGATAAGGTGGATGTCCCTCAACCTACTGAGGCATCTCTTCCAGGTAAGAAACTATGGAAGTTAATAGATCCATTAAATTGTTGGAAACTATGGAAGGAAATGTGTTATGTTTTATTTGGGTTCAGTTTAGGATTAGTATCATTTTTTATTTACGTTTTGTAAAGCACAGTACATTGTATACAGTATACAGTACATTGTCTGTGTATGTGTGTCGTCATCTGACAGAACCCACTCAGCCAGCTAATGCGGCTGCTGAGATGACTATACAGGGCAGCCCTGAACGACCACACAGGCCTATAGTTGAGAAGCCTCGCAGGCCCAGTGTGGAGAGAGAGCTGAGGAACAGCCCAGAGAAAGCAGGGAAGTCCCCTCCACCGCCCCCACCACGGAGGTTCTTCACCTCACCATCAAGCCCAGGGCTGACCACAGGGAGGTCTGGAGAAGTCGTTTTTACTACCAGGAAGGAAGCCGCCACCACACAGGTGTGTGACTCATTTGTTTGGCAGTTTCCCTAGTCAAGCAGCATTCCCAGACATTTGTCTTCAAAAGGATAACCTCAGTGTCTAGAAATAAGCATTCAACATGTGACCCAACATGCATGTACATACTATTTGTAACACTGCAAGTCAAATGGAATCTTTACTCAATCAATCAATCAAATGTATTTATAAAGCCCTTTTTACATCAGCAGATGTCACAAAGTGCTATACAGAAACCCAGCCTAAAACCCCAAACAGCAAGCAATGCAATGCAGATGTAGAAGCACGGTGGCTAGGAAAAACTCCCTAGAAAGGCAGAAACCTAGGAAGAAACCTAGAGAAGAACCAGGCTCTGAGGGGTGGCCAATCCCCTTCTGGCTGTGCCGGGGTGGAGATTATAACAGTACATGGCCATTAAGGCCAGATGTTTCTCCAAGATGTTCAAATGTTCATAGATGACCAGCAGGGTCAAATAATAATCACAGTGGTTGTAGAGGTAATGTATGCATTTAGTATTTAGGCTCCCGAGTGGCGCAGTGGTCTAAGGCACCACATCTCAGTGCTTGAGGCGTCACTACAGACCCCCTGGTTCGATTCCAGCCTTTATCACAACCGGCCGTGATTGGGAGTCCCATAGGGCGGCGCACAATTGGTCCGGGTTTGGCCGGTGTAGGCAGTCATTGTAAATAAGAATTTGTTCTTAACTGACTTGCCTAGTTAAATAAAAGTAAAAAATAAATAATAATGTTTGCAGACTATGCACACATTACCTAGTGGGGGATAGAGTGTACATTTATCCAAGCCAGTTTTGCTGTGTCAAGTTTTCCAATGTCCAAGTCAGTGTTTTACTATCCCCTTCAGGACGATGAAGAGGAGGTGTTCCTTCAACCCAGTCCCAAACCCACCAGACAGCCCCCAGAGGTCAAGCCCAAGCCCGAAACCACATCTTTTATCACAGCCTCAGCTGAGCCAGAGGAAGAGGAGGATGAAGAAGAAGAGGATGAAGAGGAGGACAAATTCATGAAGGAACTACAGGTAAATAAACACTCTGTCAGATACGTACCACAAATACACTACATGACCAAAAGTATGTGGACACCTGCTCGTCGAACGAAATTTGACAAGCTGACTTGTTGGAAAGGTGGCATCCTATGACGTACGGGCCGTTCTACTGACAACGTTTGTCTATGGAGATTGCATGGCGGTGTGCTCGGTTTTATACACCTGTCAGAAATGGGGATGGCTGAAATAGCCAAATCCACTAATTTGAAGGGGTGTCCACATACTTTTGAATATATAGTGTATGTACAAAGCATTTGTCAATTTTGGACCTTTTTAACATAAACATTAACACTAGTGTACATGCATTACTACACTGAACAAAAATATAAATGCAACATGCAAAAATGTCAAAGATTTTACTGAGTTACAGTTCATATAAGGAAATCAGTCAATTGAAATAAATTCATTAGGCCCTGACCTATGGATTTCACATGACTGGGAATACAGATATGCATCTGTTGCTCACAGATACCTCATGCAGAGCGACACATCTTTTCATAGAGTTGATCAGGCTGTTGATTGTGGCCTGTGGAATGTTGTCCCACTGCTCTTCAATGGCTGTGCGAAGTTGCTGGATATTGGCTGGAACTAGAACACGCTGTCGTACACGTCAATCCAGAGCATCCCAAACATGCTCAATGGGTGACATGTCTGGTGAGTATGCAGGCCATGGAAGAACGGTGACATTTTCAGCTTCCAGGAATTGTGTACAGATCCTTGCCACATGGGGCTGTGCATTATCATGCTGAAACATGAAGTGATGACGGCGGATGAATGGCACGACAATGGGCCTCAGGATCTCATCAATGTATCTCTGTGCATTCAAATTGCCATCGATAAAATGCAATTGTGTTCGTGTCCGTAGCTTATGCCTACCCATACCATAACCCCACTGCCACCATGAGGCACTCTGTTCACAACATTGACATCAGCAAACCGCTCGTCCACACGACGCCATACACGATGTCAGCCATCTGCCAGGTACAGTTGAAACCGCAATTCATCCATGAAGAGCACACTGCTCCAGCGTGCCAATGGCCATTGAAGTTGAGCATTTGCCCATTGAAGTCGGTTACGACGCCGAACTGCAGTCAGGTCAAGACCCTGGTGAGGACGACGAGCACACAGATGAGCTTCCCTGAGACGGTTTCTGACAGTTTATGCAGAAATTCTTCGGTTGTGCAAACCCACAGTTTCATCAGCTGTCCGGGTTGGCGACAATCCCGCAGGTGAAGAAGCCGGATGTGGAAGTGCTGGGCTGTCGTGGTTACACGTGGTCTGTGGTTGTGAGGCCTGTTGGACGTACTGCCAAATTGTCTAAAATGGTAGAGAAATTAAGATTACATTCTCTGGCAAAGCTCTGGTGGACATTCCTGCAGTCAGCATTCCAAATGCACACTCCCTCAAGATTTGACATATCTGTGGCATTGTGTTGTTTGACAATACTGCACATTTTAAAGTGGCCTTTTATTGTCCCCAGCACAATGTGCACCTGTGTAATGATCATGCTGTTTAATCAGCTTCTTGATATTTCACACCTGCCAATTGGATGAATTATTTTAGCAAAGGAGAAATGCTCACTAACAGGGATGTAAAGAAATTTGTGCACAACATTTGAGAGAAATAAGCTTTTTGTGCATATGGAAAATTCCTGGGATCTTTTATTTCAGCTCATGAGGCATGGTACCAACGCTGTATGTTGCCTTCTGTTGTTCAATGGAGGAATGTCTGTGTGAACAATAATAAGTGCAGCCAAAAACATCAGTTAGTCTGATATTTAACTCAGCCTTTGTTGTACAGCCACAGAGCCCTTGTCATGCGATCTGGAATCTGTGATCTAATCAGTGCACTTTGACCTCCTCAGGTGTTTCAGAAGTGCACTCTTAGTGATGTAGGCACAAGGTGCGTTGTAGACCTCACAAGCACTGCATCCCAAGTCAGACAGATAGAGCCAGAGCTCCCCCTCTCACCCAAAGACCCTAAGGTAACAGATGCCCTATTACTAACCCCCTGTGTGTGGTGTGCCTATGGTCTGATCTGAGGCCTGCACTCATTGCTTTTAACTCACTCACTGCTTATCTAGGCCTCTAACACTAATTTGATCTGGGACCTGCCTGTCTGTGCTTACAGCTTAATCAGCCTCTGAATCTGTTCTAAGCTTGGATCTAAAGCTTGCTTTTGATTGAATGTGCTTCTGAACACTGGTCTGACTGGCACTCAGTGCTGTGTTCAGCTATTGCTGCTGGAATGGCCTGGGGGCCGGAGGTTTGGTGCTTCTCATGGTGTTTTCTTCTCTCTTTCATGTTATCTCTGCCTTTCAGAGAATTGGCTGATGTCTCAAATAAAAGATGTATGGTGTCTCTTGGTTTTGGAAAATGTTGTCTCTTGATTTCCAAGTGTGATATTATCTTCAATTAATTTCAATTCCCATCCACTATGAGATTACGGACTAATCATTCACACTGTGCAGTGTTCTTGCCTGGCTTCGTGAATGAATCTGCATCTGATATTTTGTTCTCTTATCACATTGTGCTTGACTCCATTTCCCTTAGTTCTCTAAGCATGCTCTCTTAGCTGCCATGGCTAACAGATTTGACACTGTTCCAAAGAGTCCCAGGGTAAGTCTTTCATCCCCATATAACCCATGTTCCTCAGTCTGAATACAGTATACTGTATACAGGTAACTGTCAAAATAAAGGAAACACCAACATCAGGTGTCTTAATGGGGCGTTGGGCCACCACGAGCATTGGGCCAGAACAGCTTCAATGCGCCTTGGCATAGATTCTACAAGTGTCTGGAACTATTGGAGGGATGCGACACAATTCTTCCACGAGAAATTCCATCATTTGGTGTTTTGTTGATGGTGGCCGTGGAAAACTCTGTCTCAGGCGATGCTCCAAAATCTCCCATAAGGGTTCAATTGGGTTGAGATCTGGTGACTGAGACACACACACACACACACACTTTAAACCCTCTATGCTCCTTTGAGATCCCTCTTTCAAAGTCACTGAGATCTCTTCTTCTAGCATGATAGCCAAAATAATGGGCAACTGACCCTAAGCATGATGGGATGTTTTAATTGCTTAATTAACTCAGGGACCACACATGTGTAGAAGCACCTGCTTTCAATATACGTTGTATTCCTAATTTACGCAAGTGTTTACATTATTTTGGCATTTACCTGTATATTTTTATGTTAAGAGATATTTCCCTCCTTTTTTCCAGGTCATGTATTATGTTATGGAACATATATCCAATGAAAAGCCTCCATCGGGAAGAACAGACCAATCAGAAGGCAGAGAGGGAACAGTGTCCACCTCACAGGTGGCAAACACAAATACGCTTGACTCCCAGCAGCCAGAGTTACTAACAGCAGACGAGTCACCTCTAGTATCATGTAACTCAATGGTGGAGAGCCAAGATTGTCCTCCTAAAACACAGAAGTTAACAGTTGGAGAAGATAGTGAGGAGAGCCTCGTAGATGAGAATGACCTGAAGGATCCTGTTCAGAGTCAGAAAAAGGAGGTAGCTGAACCTGTGTGTCCTCCAATACCTGCAGAGAAGAAGGACTTACTTGTACCTACCGAACGGAGCACTCCTCCTACTAACAGTATACCATCATCATCATCATCTCCACCAGTACCAGTAATCCAGCCTGTGACTCGTATAGTTCAGGAGGCTTCAGGTAGTCCAGTGTCTCCTCCACCAGTAGAGAGCGTGAGCCTGGATGACAGCCAGAGCCAACAGGTAGTATTGAGGTCATCCAGAGGCAGAGCACCACGGTATGTAGAGGAGGGCAGCAGCCTGAGCCCTGACCTCCCAGACAAGGAGGGCTCTCCTCCCCCTGAGAACATCTCCTTCATGATGATAACCAGCAACAAAGTGCAGGCTCTGTCCACTAGGCAGTACCAGGAGATAGTAAGTAGTACCAACGGGTCCGAGGTTCAGACCTTCAAGGTGGGGAACGACACCACCACCAGCGTCAGCCAGGAGGAGCACTGTGGCTTTGACAGGAAGCCTGTGATCATCATATTCGACGAGCCCATGGACATCTGGTCGGCCTACAAGCGTATGTCCACCATCTTTGAGTGTGAGGAGGAGCTGGATGTGATGCTGCACCAGGAGAGTATCAAGGAGGAGAACGAGGAGGCAGAGAAGAATGTACCTCAGGTAAAGCCTAACACTGATCTACAACAGGCAAACAAGACAGCAGTGACAGAAAACACTGCAAGCGGTCACAGTAATACTCCTGCTGTGGTTGCGCAACAGATGAGTACATCAGAGTGCTCATCGCCAGAACAGTCTAAAACAGAGTCTTCAAAAGGCAGCAAACCAGAGACCAAAAATAAGCTCAAATTCAAGTTCCCCAAAAATAAGCTGGCGGCCATCAGCCAAGCGATTCGCACTGGGACCAAAACAGGCAAGAAGACGCTCCAGGTGGTGGTATATGAGGATGAGGAGGAGGGGGACGGACACATGAAGGAGACCAAGAGGTTTGAGAGCAACAGCAGCAGCAAACCCCAAACTGACTCCAGTCACCTCACCACTGTGAAAAACGTCACGTCACCAAGCACTCTCACCCGGTCAAACTCTAAACGCAGGACAGAGGCGATCTGTAAGAACACCTACGAGTCCATAAACAGTCTAGATGAGACCATTGAAAAGCTAGAGATCACCATGGAGAATATAACCCCCTCTGCGCTTAAGATAGACTCCTGTGAAGAGACTCCATCCGCTGTGAAACTCAAACGAGAGAGGGAGGGCAGTCCCTCTAAGAGGCCTGCCCCTCCTCAGGTCTCTAAGTCCCTGAAGCCTCAGAGTAAGAAGTCCAAACCACAGCTTCCACAACTTCCCAGGCCGTCCATCATGAGCAGCTCCAAGAAACAGGTCTCTCTTAAAGCTGCTTCCCCCTAACACTGCACTGGTGGCTGGGTCCCTCTGAGGGCTGGGCTGGTGGCTGGGTCCCTTGTAGATTCCCACCCTCTAACCAGTAAAGATTAACATGTTTTTCAGGTGTTGCTGGGGATACAACTGGGATCTACCTCTGCTTATAAGCGGTCTTTGTGGTGTCAGCTGACATGATTGTTGTCCCTTGGGATCTGGGTTGCTATGATGTGTTTTTGTGGACTTTGAACAGTTAATTTTGTCTGGATCAAAGTGACAGGCTTTAAAATGACTGGCTTTATACAGTACTTGTGGTTCCGTTGTGCATGCTCTGCTCTCAGAGTTGGTGCAAGTTGGTCAGTGGTTCCCAAACTTGGAAAAGTTGTGTATCCCTAACTTGACCCACCAGCTCCCTACATATACCCAAAACCTATATGAAAGGCAATAACATTATAACTTTATAAGAACATCTCTGTCATACCTCACAGCCATAAATACATCTTGTTTGTTTTGTTATTAACCATCAATTACAATTTGTCCTCAACTGATAGTAAAATAACTTCATTAGCTTTTACTATTAATGTCCAAACAGTAAGTGAAACTATAAGTGCAAAATAAAATACAGGTGAACACAAAATCCACCATTACAGATAATGTCTCAGGCTACGCCCTGGAGCTAACCCTACTTGTACCCCAGTTTGGGAATCACAAACCTACTGTAAGCATGCTGTCATCTTATCTTTGTATACAGGTCTGTCTTTGTTGTTGCTTCGGCTCTTAGGTGTTTTCACAATCCGTCCCTAATATACAGTATAATTTTTGTGTTTCTTTTCGTCTGTTTGATTATTTACAGAATACCAGTGGCTCTCCTTCAAGTCGGATGTCACTTTCTGCATCTGCAAAGTCCTGGCTGCAACCAGCCGGGTCAGCTGACAAACCAGGAGGAAAAGCTCAGAAGCTCCAGGGCAGTCAGAAGCAGTTTCGACAGGTAGTTTTACTATAAGATGGCCTGTGTCAGGAAGTTTTGGAGCAACCACTTTCATGATGTAGAGAAGTGTGTTTATGTGAAGCATTGGAAACTGTACAATTATAGGATGTTTGTTGAATCCATGCATTCTCTGTCTTGTTCTCCTATGTCTTCAAGACCTTTTGACTTACCATCTGTACCCTCTTGACCTCTATATGCTCCTTGAGCATGCTCACCATGAAACTTTCATTCACTTGGAGATGGAGGCAAGGATAGAAGATTGCCAAAGATATATTCACTTCACTTTTTGAACATCTCCTTGAATTAAGCATTTTCATTTTGCAAACAAATGCGCTTCTCTAACCTTAGACTAAAGCAACTCAAATAAACCTATTCTCAAACTAAATTCACCCTCTGTCAGCTGTCCAAATATTCTTTAACCCTCTTTATCTCACCCTGAGTAGCATGATATTTATGTCATAAATATTGCATGTGCATGATGAGTTAGTGCATTGAATTGGTGAATTAGTGGGCATCATTAACCCTTTAGATCATTTCCTGACTTCATCCGTTTTACTGTGGTTGTTTATATTTTCAATGAATCATCTATTTTTAGTGTATTTTAATGCCATCTGTTTGCTTTGTAACATGATGTTTATTTATCTTTGTATAATAACCCTTCTTTTGCCTTTCTTGACATTCCATGTCTCCCGCCATCTTTGTTTCGCAGGCCATCAGAAGTACAAAGAAAGCTGGTGGGAATAGTAACCATTCTTTCCTTGCTTTACCTGCTTCTAAGATCCCAGCCTTTTGTCAAAGCTCTGGAAAAAACACGTCATTGCCGGGTCCTAACTCTGTGTCTAACCCTATTAAATCACCTTCATCCTTCCCGTCCTCCTCACACAAGTCTTTCATCCCGTCTCTTAATCTGAGTCATCTCATCCCTTCTAGCCCTTCTCTCAATAACAGACGTCAAAATCTTTCCCTCTCGTCGCAAACCCAAAATAGCCGACCCAGCCCTTTCTCTTACTGCTCATCTTCCTCTTCCTCTTCCTCCTCCAACCCCCCCTCTTCCAACTCATCCTCTTTGTCCCCCACATCCACGTCCTCCACCTCCTCCTCCCCTCCCTCCTCTCCCCGACTGCCATGAGTCAAGGTGTAAGGAGTATCCACCGCATTGCACATATACCCAGCTTCACAGGTCGCAAAATGCAATGTGGACACAGCAGCAAAACCATACACACACCAGCAGCTTCTTCAACCCTCCAAGGACATATCATGATCTTTTTATATCTATATAAATTATAGTGGAGGGAAATGCCGTTTTCATGGCAACATAATACAATTGCAGGGCAATCTTGTTTCTCTCTAACCCTTCCATACGTTTTTGATCATGATCAGTTTGAGTTCACATAAAAAAAAAGAAAATACCTTGACCTGGTTTTCATTCAACACTCCCTTTGAGCAAGGGGACCTTTTTATTTCTGCCTCAGCTTTTGTATGATGATAACCATATTAACAAGATAACTATGTTGCTTTACAAATGATCTACACAAAAAGGTGCAAACATTCTAGAGTTAATGCTAATGCAGTTTAGTGGTGCTGGAGATCTGGATTTTATTTTTATTGATGTGAGAAATCTGTGGTTTTAATTGATGGTGTTGAATATAATGTATATTTTATAAGAATTTGAGTGACACTTAATATACAGATTTTATCGAAAATAAAAATGTATTATATAAAGAAATCAAATGATTTTGGGGATAGATACAGTGAGGGAAAAAAGTATTTGATCCCCTGCTGATTTTGTACGTTTGCCCACTGACAAAGACATGATCAGTCTATAATTTTAATGGTAGGTTTATTTGAACAGTGAGAGACAGAATAACAAAAAAGAAATCCAGAAAAACGCATGTCAAAAATGTTATGAATTGATTTGCATTTTAATGAGGGAAATAAGTATTTGACCCCTCTGAAAAACATGACTTAGTACTTGGTGGCAAAACCCTTGTTGGCAATCAGAGGTCAGACGTTTCTTGTAGTTGGCCACCAGGTTTGCACACATCTCAGGAGGGATTTTGTTCCACTCCTCTTTGCAGATCTTCTCCAAGTCATTAAGGTTTCGAGGCTGACGTTTGGCAACTCAAACCTTCAGCTCCCTCCACAGATGTTCTATGGGATTAAGGTCTAGAGACTGGCTAGGCCACTCCAGGACCTTAATGTGCTTCTTCTTGAGCCACTCCTTTGTTGCCTTGGCCGTGTGTTTTGGGTCATTGTCATGCTGGAATACCCATCCACGATCCATTTTCAATGCCCTGGCTGAGGGAAATCTCACCCAAGATTTGACGGTACATGGCCCAGTCCATCGTCCCTTTGATGTGGTGAAGTTGTCCTGTCCCCTTAGCAGAAAAACACCCCCAAAGCATAATGTTTCCACCTCCATGTTTGACGGTGGGGATGGTGTTCTTGGGGTCATAGGCAGCATTCCTCCTCCTCCAAACATGGCGAGTTGAGTTGATACCAAAGAGCTCGATTTTGGTCTCATCTGACCACAACACTTTCACCCAGTTCTCCTCTGAATCATTCAGATGTTCATTGGCAAACTTCAGACGGCCCTGTATATGTGCTTTCTTGAGCAGGGGGACCTTGCGGGCGCTGCAGGATTTCAGTCCTTCACGGCGTAGTGTGTTACCAATTGTTTTCTTGGTGACTATGGTCCCAGCTGCCTTGAGATCATTGACAAGATCCTCCCGTGTAGTTCTGGGCTGATTCCACACCGTTCTCATGATCATTGCAACTCCACAAGGTGAGATCTTCCATGGAGCCCCAGGCCGAGGGAGATTGACAGTTATTTTGTGTTTCTTCCATTTGCGAATAATCGCACCAACTGTTGTCACCTTCTCACCAAACTGCTTGGCTATGGTCTTGTAGCCCATTCCAGCCTTGTGTAGGTCTACAATCTTGTCCCTGACATGCTTGGAGAGCTCTTTGGTCTTGGCCATGGTGGAGAGTTTGGAATCTGATTGATTGATTGCTTCTGTGGACAGGTGTCTTTTATACAGGTAACAAACTGAGATTAGGGGCACTCCCTTTAAGAGTGTGCTCCTAATCTCAGCTCGTTACCTGTATAAAAGACACCTGGGAGCCAGAAATCTTTCTGATTGAGAGGGGGTCAAATACTTATTTCCCACATTAAAATGCAAATCAATTTATAACATTTTTGACATGCGTTTTTCTGGATTTTTTTTTGTTATTCTGTCTCTCACTGTTTAAATAAACTTACCATTAAAATTATAGACTGATCATTTCTTTGTCAGTGGGCAAACATATAAAATCAGCAGGGGATCAAATACTTTTTTCCCTCACTGTATAGTATATTTCATCTAGCATCAGTCGTTCAGTTGTCATCTCTCTTATGCAATGATCTTTGATGTGTAGAGTGTGAGTGGAATTTTAAGGAAAAAAAGAGCTTGGTGATTTCTTAAGCTTCCTATGCAGTGCCAAATACTTTGAGCAAACAAGATAGCTACTGTACATTCAAAGTGATGTTTAGAGGCCTTTTTACGGCAGTAGATTTGCTAAAATGCCAAAGTATTTGGTTTTACAGACCATGTATCTAAGACATGCACTGTGTGTACGTTGTAATGTTTACCTTTGGGATGGCACCTACTTATTTTACCCAAATAGCTTACTGTGATACTCTTATATTCATATCAGTAACTGGTGTTTACATTCATACTTAGTGACAGAAGTTTACATGCAAGTGCATTTTAGAGATTTGACATGTTTATCTGAAATATTAGAGAACTATTGTGTTTGCACAACTCATATTTAGTGTTCTCTGATTTTGTAAAGCTGTAAACCATGTTGTAAAAAGGTATTGTAGAATTAGATGCTTGTGAGGTTGAAAAACTAATAAAGGGCTTTCTGTTAGTGATTTGCTGTATGCTTCGATGTGTTCATGTTATATTAATATGTGTAATTGTATGAAAAATAGGTTTACTGACGTAGGTATTGATGCAAAATCAGTTTGTGCTTCCTATTATTGCCCAACAGAGGGCAATATACACATGCAATTTTACACAGGAAAGAGGGCAGCCAGACAGCAACACTTAGGTTTGCGTACCAGTATTTTTAAAATGTTCGGAATAATTTACATAAAATAACTATACGCAAATGTAATAATATTTGTTTCTATATCAAACAGATTTCAAACAGATTCTGAAGCAATAATTTGCTTCAAGTCCAAAATAAAATATATGAAATTCTAATAGAGCTAAAACAATAGATCTAAAATATGGTCTCTTATGATTAGGTCATGGATATTGCTCAGACAAATAAATAAACATTACATAAAAACACATTTAGACATTACAAATATCTGTGAGAGAATGTCATTAACACTTATCACAGAGGAAAAAAAACATAATGAGATATCTCATCCTTTTAATTAGTAAATTATTAGTAATTAGTTTCATTAAACGATAATTAGCTCATATGTAAATTCCAGACATAATGAATCCCAATGCCCATCTACGGTAATTAGCATATCATCATTCTGCATCATATTTAACACAGGAAAGTTGAAGAGAGTCCAGATTGTGAGATGCAACACAGAGGGAGGGATGGCTGGTAATTAAAAAATAATTCATTTTAGCATCATAGGGTTAATTATGATCTCTCCCAATGCATTATGGTAGCGATACATCAACAGCACAAGTCTAGGAGGACATCCACATACCAACAAGGAACTTTCTGTCTGTTAATCAAAGATGTGGCCCCCTAATTTGCATTTCAAATTGGAATTACTGTAATGAGGGTGTGAATCAGTATGCTTGCCAAATTAGCCGAGTAGTTTTCTGTAAGTAAAGTGGCTTGTAATACTAGAATTGTGAATTCGTTTGCCATGTTGTTAGATCTTCAGCAACGGTACAAGGCATGAGAGAGGTGAAGTCAAGATGTTAACCCAGTAAGGATAATACATACAGTTGAAGTCAGAAGTTTACATACACTTAGGTTGGCGTCATTAAAACTCTTTTTTCAACACTCCACTAATTTCTTGTTAACAAACTATAGTTTTGGCATGTCGGTTAGGACATCTACAGTGAGGGGGGAAAAGTATTTAATCCCCTGCTGATTTTGTACGTTTGCCCACTGACAAAGAAATGATCAGTCTATAATTTTAATGGTAGGTTTATTTGAACAGTGAGAGACAGAATAACAAATAAAAAATCCAGAAAAACACGTCAAAAATGTTATAAATTGATTTGCATTTTAATGAGGGAAATAAGTATTTCACCCCTCTGCAAAACATGACATAGTACTTGGCAATCACAGAGGTCAGACGTTTCTTGTAGTTGGCCACCAGGTTTGCACACATCCCAGGAGGGATTTTGTTCCATTCCTCTTTGCAGATCTTCTCCAAGTCATTAAGGTTTTGAGGCTGACGTTTGGCAACTCGAACCTTCAGCTCCCTCCACAGATTTTCTATGGGATTAAGGTCTGGAGACTGGCTAGGCCACTCCAGGACCTTAATGTGCTTCTTCTTGAGCCACTCCTTTGTTGCCTTGGCCGTGTGTTTTGGGTCATTGTCATGCTGGAATACCCATCCACGACCCATTTTCAATGCCCTGGCTGAGGGAAGGAGGTTCTCACCCAAGATTTGACGGTACATGGCCCCGTCCATCGTCCCTTTGATGCGGTGAAGTTGTCCTGTCCCCTTAGCAGAAAAACACCCCCAAAGCATAATGTTTCCACCTCCATGTTTGACGGTGGGGATGGTGTTCTTGGGGTCATAGGCAGCATTCCTCCTCCTCGAAACACGGCGAGTTGGGTTGATGCCAAATAACTCAATTTTGGTCTCATCTGACCACAACACTTTCACCCAGTTCTCCTCCTTTTGTGTTTCTTCCATTTGCGAATAATCGCACGGATTTCAGTCCTTCACGGCGTAGTGTGTTACCAATTGTTTTCTTGGTGACTATGGTCCCAGCTGCCTTGAGATCATTGACAAGATCTTCACGTGTAGTTCTGGGCTGATTCCTCACCGTTCTCATGATCATTGCAACTCCACAAGATGAGATCTTGCATGGAGCCCCAGGCAGAGGGAGATTGACAGTTCTTTTGTGTTTCTTCCATTTGCGAATAATC